CAGCCCAGAAATGGTTCTTCGAGGACTTGTGCTCAGATATCCGACAGCAAACGTTCTTTGGACAAAATAATTCTTGGAACTGTTTTCCAGAGGTAATATTTTTTATACATTATGGTGCAATTAAACAACTAAGTAGCTCTAATCAGTTCCATGGTGCAATTAAACACTGGATAGCTCTATCAGTTTAACTTGTTTTCCCCAGAGATCCAGTGAAGGTCATCCCTTATTGATCCAGTGTTACTACAGGAGGAAACCTAAATTAAACTAACTTTATTTATACTGGATAGCTCTATCAGTTGTAAACTGTTCTTCCTAGAGGTCCAGTAAGGATCATCTCTTATTGATCCAGTGTTACTACAGGAGGAAACCTAAACTAAACTAACTTTATTTATACTGGATAGCACTATCAGTTCTAAATGTTCTCACTAGAGGTTCTCACGGCGCCATCCGAATATCGTTCTATTAACTGGAATTAACTGGTACAACCGGCCCCTGGGCTCTACGAGAATTTATGTCTAATATATAGTTCACGTTTTAAGGTATTCAAGCAACGATGTACATCAAGCATGAACTGGGTTCTCCCGTTGAACAAAACTCAATTGGACCAGTGCCTGAAGCTGTACTATGATCAGCAATCGTGTCCTACGTTTTCTTCAGCCAGGTCGAGTCTGTATTTTCAAGGCGATAAAATCAAGGGAATCAGTGTGGCGATTCCCACAAACATCCCGTTGACAAACAAATACGAAACTGTAGACGGTTTATGGAATAGCATTGAAGATTTTTCGAGCAACGTGCTGGATAAGGCACCCGAAGGAATACAAAATGGCTGGGCGATATCGTGGCTGCATTTCTACGCGTTACAGGAAAACCTTGGCAGCAGTACTATTACATCCCTCGGCGTCTCGCTTGCTTTTGCATTTTGTGTCATGTTATTGACCTCGATGAACTGGGTAATAAGTGTATATGCCATAGTCACTATTGTCTTAACATTGGCGACAACTACTGGCGCGCTTGTCTTAGCTGGTTGGGAATTGAATATATTGGAGTCCATAGTCATTTCAGTGGCAGTGGGGTTGTCGGTGGATTTCACTCTACATTATGGAGTGGCTTATATTGTCTCCTCAAAGAAGGGCAGAGTGGACCAAGTAAAGTCCGCCCTCGGTCATGTTGGACCAGCGGTTACATTGGCTGCTCTCACAACGTTCATTGCAGGTAAGCACTGACCTCAAAAGTACTGGATAACTGGATAGCAAAACACTGTTTTATAAGCTGAAGAAAACGTTTTGTATGTTGTCGAGAAGATCTCCTTGCTCACCTTTCGTTTGCAATTATAGTATAATCTATCACTAGAAAAATAATTCAGTTTTACCCAGAATCATTAATTATATCCCGCCCGTCTCGGCAAAGCGAGATCATGTGTATAGGACTATATTATTTCATCCATATACACGTAGAAATCTCACAACAAGATGTGTTCGCAACAGGCTTGTAGCAAGCTTGTCGACAAGTTGTAACAATGCTGTTATTTTATCAAGTTGCTACAAGGTTGTCACTCGCAACTTGTTGACAAATTGTTGGATTGCAGGACGATAACGAGTTGTTGAAACAACTTGTAACAAGTCTGTCGTTGAGCTCAATAACCTTGTAGCAAGTTGTCAACAAGCTGGGAACAAGCAGTGCGAATACATCCCGTTGACAAGTTGTTGGAACAGCATTGCTACAAGTCTGCTGCGGGTTTGTTACAACTTGTGCGTTTTTAAGTGTGTAGGACATGAAATTATAACCCAATTTAAATTCCATGACGTTACATGAATTTCCTCGATTCTGTTTCAGGCGTATTCATGATGTTCTCAACAGTTCTGGCGTATTGTCAACTTGGTCAATTTCTCACACTGGTCATGGCCATCAGCTGGCTGTTTGCAACATTCTTCTTTATGTCTTTGTGTTATTTTGCTGGACCCGTCGGACACTTTGGACAGATCAACTCGACGAAATGTCTATCTTGCAAGGTGGTTGGTTAATTCCATCGTTTTTATGACAAATGGCCGGGTCAAACGCCGGACCAAGAGTTGCAAGGGAGTTGATAAGAGCTGACCCGTTTTACTCTCATCATAATTTGACCTGCTCAAAGTTGATGAGCGTCAATTGCCTAGACCTAGGCTTTTTCACACGAGAACACTGGGACCCAGGCTATGACCAAACCTGTGAAAGCAGCCGAATAAAGGTCCTAGGCACAGAACAGAGACACACAGAAGGTCGACTCAGCCAAAAAAGCGTAACCGTTTCACGTCATGATTCGTGTTCCTACCCAGTGCGCTTATGAGAGGCATTCCCCCCTGAATGTCCGCCATTTTGAATATTTTCAGGGGGTGAATGCCTTTCATAAGCGCACCGGCAAGGACGGTTACGCCATAATCATAGGCAAAAACCAAGAAGTCAACCTTCCGTGTGTTTCTATTCTGTGTCCAAAGTCTAGGTTGGAGAGTTAGTTAAATTATTTATAATGTGATGCCAAGTTGATGAGAGGCAAAGCTTCGAGTCAATCACAACAATATTGAAAATTTTATATTGTTTTGTAATTTTATATTGTTTTTAACTGTAACGCGATATCGGATACTCATAGAGTAAAAAAACGTGGCTGTTAATTTAAAGTGTGTATATAATTTTCAAAGCGTAACATATTAATTAAAATAATTTATTGTAACAAGTTACTCTGCTTTTTATCTTATTGTCGCCAAACGATTCTTCATATCTTTTCTGTAAAAACATGACATCCCTTAAGGCTTAACTATTAACAATTTATTGTAAATTGTTCAGTCTAATATACGTGTTGTTGATCATATAGCAGCAGGGATTATTCTAAGGAAATTTTATCACTGCACAAAAGCGCGAAAAATGATAAAATGTACATAAATTTAGCGACATTTTTGAAAACGTTCTTACTCATGCCCTGCATTAGTGCATGTACGCTGGTTCTACAACTTAAAGTTACCCCATGGCATGCACTAATTATATGCAGGCAAATGAGCCAAAATCACCGCTAATGAGCCCAAATCTGCATTCTGCATATTCTATTTCATGAAAAAATATACACATTTTTACATATTTTTTGAATCGCATGCAAAACACAAAGCAATATTGCCAAACCGCAGGCTGCGTCAAAAATCTCAAAACAAAATAGGAGAAATACCCGATCGGAATAAATATGCCACCGAAACATTAGTAAATGAATGCTTTATTGAATGAATGCATTAGTAAATGAATGCTTTATTGCAATAATTTTGAGTTCAAATATTTTCACCCTGTATATTCCCAGTAAAAACTGAATGAAGCCATTGTATGTGATTTTATGCAAATTAGTATACAAGCAGTGGCCATTTTGTCGCCAATTTCTGGTAGTGAACAATATCGCACAAATTAGTATACAAGCAGTGGCCATTTTGTCGCCAATTTCTGGTAGTGAACAATATCGCATTTTATCACTGCACATAATCTAATTTATCACTGCACAAATCTCATTTATCACTGCACAAATTGGCTATCACTGCACCTTAGAATAATCCTTGTATAGCAGTTCAATTGGTTATCACTGCACCTTAGAATAATCCTTGTATAGCAGTTCTATAGTAGTATATATTGTGTATATGTCTATCTATATCTCTACAGATCAGGGATCGGACTTGATCAAATTGACCATTTGCGTAATAGACTAAATTTTGATCTCAGCAAAAATTTCATTACAGCTTGAAAGAGCATCACAAAATTAGTAATATTCCAAAGTTTCGTTACAAGATGTTGTAAAATGCGGAAAATATAGCCTTGCGAAATTTGCAATTTTCAGTCATTTTAGATTACAAACCGGAAATTGACAGCCTCGAAGGGTTTGGGGCTGTCAATTTCCCGTTTGTAATCTAAAATGACTGAAAATTGCAAATTTAACAAGGCTATATTTTCCGCATTTTACAACATTTTGCAACGAAACTTTGGAATATTACTAATTTTGTGATGCTCCTTCAAACTGTGATGAAATTTTGGTCTAGACTTGTTTAGTTCAAAATTTAGTCTATTACGCAAATGGTCAATTGCGTGGACTTGAAATCTAGTCCAGTCCTTATAGTCGGATTTGAAATATTACATCCAGTCCTAGGACTGGCTCAAAATTAATTCAGTTTTTGGAGTGGATCAAAATTAAGTCACCTCACTTTAAGTAGTGATTTATTCGTATGAGATGTCATTCCAAATCCTCCAACGGGAATGGACTAAATTTCAAGTCCTCGCATTTTGATCCAGTCTTCGGCTTCGCCTCGGATGTGATCAAATTTCGCGGACTTGAAATCCACAATCCTGGACAAAAAACACTCGGACGCTGTTTCTCCATGGCGAATGATTACATATCATGGATGCTTTCATCTACAAAATGGTTGCATCGCATCCCCGATACAATGTTGCTGTCTCAAATGTCAACAAAGTTATGGTCATGCCCAAGGGTGGGTTGACTACAAAATTTTTGTAGTTTGCTATAACTACAGCTACTTCAGAAATATGTAGTCAGCTACAACTACTGCTACTATTTTATAACAAAGGTAGTTCGCTACTGACTACAGCTACTGCTTAAAAATTGTAGCGAACTATTTCGCTATTTCGCTACTCTATACTGCATGTTTAGTGAAACGGTATTTGGAGCATCCACTAGCTCAGGCTGTAATACAACCTATGACAAATCGACTTACGAGTAGCAACAGTAAACAAAAAGGGTCAAAGCAACATTTTTGTAAGCACTACAGTGTTCAGGAGTGCCACTTTTCATTGCGCTAAAATAATCTTTGCTGTATAAAATAATCTTTTAAAGCAAACCGTGTCTTAATATCATTCTATTCTATGAACGGTTGCTAACAATTTTAAAAAGTAGCGAATAGCGATTCGCTGTTTGAAAAGTAGTCTAGTGAAAGTAATGTCCGCACGGTGTGATTTTTGCGCTTGACATGAATTCTAGACAGATTGGGCAATGTGTACTTTCATTTCTCGTGTTTTCAAGTTGTTCTTCTGTGGCATCGGCAAGCCCGTCGAGCTCTCTTGTTGTTGGCCGAATTTGCTGGAAGATTCTCCGACATTCCTGGACAGGTATCCAAACGGCACAGTAAAAATAAAAGGCTAATTGCATAAGGGCCATGCCTAGAACAAAGGATCAGTTAGTGCATATCTTCTCAAATAAACACACCCTGTCTAATAACCCTCCACTTTTTAAAGGAATGAAACTAACCAAGACCCCCCTCCTTTATTAAGAGTTTATTCACCCCATTTACAACAAAGAAATACTCATGTTTACTGATTAGGTATATTCATTGGCATGGAAGTTTATTGCATTTCTAACAAGCTTTGCTCCCCATGCAAAACCCCCCTACAAATTTCCTCGAAAATATGGCCGTAGGTAACATATTTCATGGGGCACCGGCGTGGCTAATAGAATTGTTGGTCACCGCACGACTTACCGAAACTTTTATGATCCACCTTCAGTAATATCCAAAGTCCCACGAAGCATGATATAATTGCAAACCCAAAGTTAGTACAGCTTGCCACAGCCTGGACCTTAATTACAAAAGCAAAGCAAAGAGTTACAAAAAAGAGTTACAAAAGCAAAGAAAAGCAAGTGGGAATGGCGAAATATATATCTTAATAAAATATGTCAGATGTGTTAAAAACATTTTTTTGCAATTGTTTGTTATCATGCTGCATCCACTTGGAGTAGTAGGCAACGAACATGCCAGCGCTTGCGACCAGCAACCAGCATGAGCAGAATGAAATCAAAACTCACTCACTGCAAAATTATAAAGAGGGTCCTAGGGGTCAGCCTCATTTCCCCAGCCCAAATTTTGACTAAATCCCATTGTCCCAGAGCACAAATCCCATCATCTCAGTGGCTGTCCTGCTCAAATCTTAATCCCATTCCCATTTTCTATTGTTTTTTTGCTGATGAATCCCAGTCCCAGTGCATGAAATCCCATTTTCCCACCCAAAAAATAAGCAAATCCCAGTTCCCATTTTACCCCTTCAGGACCCTCTATAAATATTGACAACATAATGGCTCTGATGTGTGCCCACTTGCTTTCCCGCTCGTTCATTGATATTTTAACACAAACCATGCATTAAAGTAAGAAAAAGCTAGAGTAAATAAATAACACCTAAAAATGCAAACATACGCTTTCAAAAATTGTTTCTCGATTCAAATCGATACAAAGAAATTACAATTTAAATTGTTGAAAGTGAACGAAATCCAAATAAATATGTCAATGAGCTGCCTGACTTGTTTATCGACTCTGTGACTTGCTGACCATTTTAAAAAGGCTTCTACAATCCATTATATTATAGAAACTGGATCTACCAATAACAACAGCAGCGTAAATTATTTTTCACCCTGCTCGGTTTCCTTTGTTCTTATCGGGGAATATATTCAATATTCCCCTCTAATAATTAATCCCCTCTAATATAATCCCCTATAATAATCCCCTCTAATAATCCCCTCTAATATTCACCTGCAATGTCTTTGCAGCACAAAAAATGAGAAAAAACAACACACGAAGGCAATTATGGCATTAATAAGAATTATTTCTATTCTGACTCACTAACGCGACCTCGCAATGTGAAAAAATAATTATGTACGTTATTTTGAGGCACCTGGGAATATGTGTTTATCACATATCCCCTCGTTGCCTCAAAATAAATTATATACATATCGCAACTCGTTATCATACCTGCTAAGAAAATACACTGAATCACTGAATCAGAATGGATGTCCACTGTATGTCAATTTTTGTGCCTTGTGAAATTATTTTGGCAGTTGTCACAATCACGGCGGAAAAATTGCAACAACCACAAAATCTTCAAAGTCCTACTTATTTTATGTTTTGTGTAAAGGTGTTTGATAGTTTCAAAAAGTCCTTCGCGGGTAAACCGCAAGTCTTGAGCGTCATGATAAAATTGCTTCAAATTTTCGTTAATACCCAATGCATATATCCTGCTATGAAAACTCAAAAGGCAAATGTGAGGCGGTATTTGTCGTACTTGCAAAATTCACAGGTGAAAAAAATCCGCACAACAATCGAAAATATGCCGCGCGCTCAGGACTATTATTAAAGACCTTACGATTTTAGGACGGCAACGCGACGGCGACGGCTACCAATACAATAGATCATTGAAAAGAATTGAATAAATACAATAAATGAATAATTTAGACATTGTCCTCGCTCTGTTTACAACGCCAAATCACAGATTTTCACGTCTTGATACAACGGCTGCATTCCAAGCCGCAACAAGTGCAACTTCAAACTGGGTTTAGCAGAACTCTTCCCAACCATAAAACGCATGTCTTCAACTTCTAAAACTGTATTAAATTCATACGATTGATATATACCACGAATTATCTTTACTACCATTTATTTGAAGGAGTTTGTTTTGGCCGTCGTCGTCGCGTTGCCGTCCTAAAATCGTAAGGTTGACATGCAACGAGACTGAGACTTTCGACATGCAACGAGATTGAAGACCATTATTGAAGTTTGGTACACCAGTAGTGTACAAAGTGGGTTCTGGACCGGGTGGAGCATTAAAGGTCCACCCATTAAGTCATCAGGATATCATTTCATATCAATTACACGCGCTTGTAATGTATTTAAATGAGTGTGGACCAATGATTACTAGCATTTAAAAAAAAATTTTACAGTTTAATAATTTGCCAATATTTATCCCACATATATTCCTTCTAACAAACTTAATGAATTTTAACACGTTCTCGATATATATTCTACAAAAGTTGTTGTAATTCTGCAGAGGTTCTCTTGGGGTTCCTTGGGTTCTCGCATAAAAATGCAAAAAACAGTAGTTTGATTCGCGTGTAATTGATATGAAATGATATCCTGATGACGTAATGGGTGGAGCTCTAATGCTCCACCTGGTCCACTTTGTATAACTTTGCATACTACTTATACCAATACTTCCATAAAAATCCCGGCTTTGTATATTTCAGACGCATCTAGAACAGCTTGTGGAAGTAGTGTGATGGAGATGAAAGGAAAACTATTCCGTATTACATTACTTACGCCAACAGCCATTACGAAAGCGCAAAAACATATCATGGACACTATCAATAGAACCAACACCAAGTCTATAAAATAGAAACTTGCTAGTTATCAGTGGCCGTCACTAAGGGGGGAAGTTTGTGAATGAGACTGGAAAAATTATAGAACACCTGTACTTCTTGATACGCTTACCCAATCTTTTTAAAATAGCACAACCTTCATAATAATTATATATAATTACGTAATTTTTTTCTCATTCCGTATCTTGACAACCAAGCTAAGTGAAGATAGCTGGAAAAGTGGACAACTGGACGGGTGTTCTATAATCGCTTCTCAGTGCATGAGCTAACAAAACTTACAAAAGCATTACGCAAAGAAATATGTAGGCCATCCTAAGACAAGGCAATAATGAAACGACTTAATACACATCATACAGAGATTATACACACAGTATATACCATTCCATATCTGTTCAGACTGAATTAGTAGCATCTGATTTATATTCAATATAAGTTGTACTCGTATGAAGAACTCTATGAATGTAACTCTCATCATCAAGAAGTCCATAACGTTTCACGCGCTTTCGGCGTCAAAGCTCGGCTTTAGATCAGTCTATGAAAAACAAGAAGGCACAGCCGTTTAAAAATGTTTGATTTTCAGTTCCCTAATATTGCTAAAGTAAGCAAATGTTTCCAATGGCGCAAAGGTTGTTTGTTTCTTATGTAAATGTTTCCAATCGCGCCACAGGGATGCTGGTTGTTTTGAATTTTTGAACAAGGATATGGAAATATACGTGAATACTATGTCTATATATTCTCCATTTCTGTCTTAGTTGAAGATGTACTGCTGTAAAATTTATTTTGTGCTTTTAGAATTAAAGCCCGCGGGTCATCAACCTCGTTTGACCGCCAACTCCCATGCATTCTCATATATACACTCTTGTTCTCGTTGACCACGGAGTAAACATAAAGATTATAAATAACACTAGAGGGGGTATCGTAATCGTAATTCAGTCAAAGAAAGGGAACGCGGCTATTGGAGAGGGCAAAAAATTAAAATGCTAAAATAAGAGCGCGGTTTGAGCTAAAATCTCTAAATTCTTGTTTATGGCAGTTAAGTAGTCCCGTTTTGATTTTTACCAAGCATTTTTACCCGGATTTTGTCTATAACACATAATTTGAGAGCGCTCCAAAATGATGGTGATGTCAGCAATTTTAATCTGGGGAATATTTGTAGTAATGGGGGAATATTTGTAGTAATGACATGCAAAACATATAAAACACACCGTTTTGGGGTACTTCCGCGGGTAGAAGAATTTGCATCACAGATTACGTCATCAGTTAGTTATAGTGATTAGTGTTGAGGTTAGGGTTATGGTTAGGGTTATGGTTAGGGTTAGGGTAAGGGTTAGGGTAAGGGTTAGGGTAAGGGTTAGGGTAAGGGTTAGATTAAAGGATTAGGCTTAGAGATAGGGATTGGGTTATATCTGACGCCACAAACAACATATATAACACATTTTTGAGAGCGCTCCAAAATGATGCTGATGTCAGCAATTTTAATCTGGGGGAATATTTGTAGTAATTGGGGAATATTTGTAGTAATGACATGCAAAACATATAAAACACACCATCTATGGGAATAAGTACATGAAGTTTTCGCACGGGAGGACTAGGGGATGAAGCGCGCGGGGAATGATGGGAGCCTGATGGGAGGTCTAAAAGAAAGCAATAATAAAAGGATTATTTTAAGTTTTTAACCGATTGGCGGCGATTTATAACAGTTTTTGCGTTTTAAATGCTCAACTTTGTAAATGATTTATGTTTTCTATGCATTAGTTTCTTCATGAAGAACAACAAACCCAAGTGTTTCAATCAAGAATGTGAAGTATGTGAAATATGCATGTGAGAAGGAAAAGTCGGTTGGGGGCAGTGAGCTCCATATATAACTGGAGCAAGAACTTCAGTCATTCGGCCTATGAGGAAAAGGAAAAAGTTATTTCGCTGACCTCAGAATGACATTTCGTCAAAAAAATTTTCTTCAAGATTGGTTTAGAAACAAACTTGGAGTAGGGTTAGGTTAGGGTAAGGAATAGGGTTAGTGTTAGTAAAACCGTTGCTTTGTTACGTTTTGTCACTCTGAGGCCTGCGAAGTAGCCTCTTCCATGAGAAAAGTGAAGCCAAGAAGATGGCGGCCATTGACGTCCAATAGCCCTGAAGTTCGTAAACAGCTTTTATACCATTTCCCCCCTAGCTAATTCCATATTTTTTCTGACGTACCGTGTCGCTAACCAAGTTATCACTAACCATAGTATTATTCTTTAAATTGATGTCAATTGTGTTCTGCACACTCCTTGCCAAGATGGCGGAAATTGAAGGAGCTATATTGGATTTCACTTTTCATTGACAATGGTGACTATGGTGTGGACGTTTTTAATTAATCAGGTTACAGACGAGCGAGTTTTCTATCATGATACATTTTTATATGATAAGTCCTGTTTGTTCAGTGACCAAAATTTTCATGCTTTTCTTTCAGCCGGTATGCTAGGTTTTGACCAAGGGCGGCACTAAATGGTGTGTGTGGTGGCGGTGGGTGACACCTCCCACCACTATCCCAGTCGGCATACTGCCTCCCCCTGCTAACAATTTTGGGAAAAGAAATATTAATTAGTGGTTGGAGTGATTTCTCTTAATAACTCGGCAAATTTAGACCATTTGCGGAATTATTGGAGCGTATAGCATTATACACGCAAAGGCTCGTCTCCATTTTTTTAAACTGATAGAGAAACGTCAAACATTAAGCCTCGCCGACAAACAAGTGTAAGAGTTGATTAGAGTTGCAACTCTCACTCGCGTTTGACAGCCAACTCTCATCGACTCTCATGTACTTTCATCAACTTTGAGCTGGTTCAAATTTGATGAGAGTTTTCGCTACGTGCGCGGTAATATCCAGTTTGACCCGGATACGAGAGTTGAGAAAACTCTCATGCAAACAATACTCCGGAATAAAAGTTTTAAAAAATGTGTATATAATGCTAATTAGCCATTAGTAATTCTGCAAATGGCTCAACAAAGAAAACTAGCTTATCAAGGTAACTTGAGCACTTGGAACGGTTGGAGAGTCCTCCGTGGCAAACCATGTTTTTTACCGAAGAATCGTTTGGCGACACTGAAGATAAAAAGCAGAGCAAATTTTACGATAAATTATTTTATTTAGTTATGCATTTACAATGATACACACACTTTTTATTTGCTAATTACACGCGCGTTTGCACAAAAAACCTCTATATGACAGATTTTTCGTGGGTTTCGGCCACACGGTTTCAAATCAAATTTCGTCATCGACCAAAAACATGATAATGTACTGGAATCGAAGACAGGCTATAATTACGGGAACCACTGAGTATTCTCATAAAAATACACAACTCTGAATAAAGAAAGAATTTTATTACTCTGCGTTAAAATGCTTTCTTTCGATTTATCTTTCAGCAAATTTACAATTTGCGTAATTTATGATTATCTGATTAAATTCAGACATGCGCATTAGCGAGAAATGTTGCGCCGTCAGTCAGTCAGCAGTTGCTACGGTAAGTTTATGCGCATGAGGAGTATTCTTCTCTGCGCATGCTTGGAAAGCGAATTAATTTTAGTTTTTCTGCCTTCGTTTGAAATATTTTTGTTTTTCTCCCGATTTTGTCGTCGTTTCTCTGGGTGACAGACGCTAATTTGGCTTGAAACCTCTTCAAAGGACACTTCTCGTTAAATCTCACGCAAAAACAGTGTGGATTCGTGTTTGAATGCTTAGAAAACGCGACGCGAAGGAGTCGAATTTGTGCTTCGTTCATGACTGGTTGCTTTGTCAGTGGCTTCGAACCGACCGGTTCATGCTCCGAATAGGATGAGAATTTTTGGATTCTCGGCTTAAGAAGTGAAGGATAAGACGTAGAAAATGGACCAGTATGAAGATCTTGATCCAGAAGGAAGCTGCTTTGCTGTAAGTTGGTTATGTAGTGGCTATTGACACTAAAAGCCCGTAGAATAAACATCGTAGTTCGAAACGACATCTGTGTTAAAACGTAGCGTATTTTAGGCATGTAGTGCTGTTGTTCACCTGTATTTCGTTTTACTTTTGCAGCAAATTCAAGCGCTAGTTCAGTCTGAGTTTGGCGAGACGAAACAAGCAGCGAAATCCGAGAAGGAAAGTCGTAAGCCAGGGCGAAGCGTAAATCATGATTGTTGTGATAGCTGTGGCGAGGGTGGTGATTTGCTTTGCTGTGACCAATGTCCCTGTGCTTTTCATCTCACATGTTGGTATGTCTTTCTCTTTTATAACTTCTGAATTTGTTTTGTATTTGCTTTGTGATCATGTTTGCCCCTTAGTGTAATTGTGTGAAATGGTATATTTTCACGTTTCAAGTACCTTGTCGAAAGGGTCAGGCTGGTCAAAACTCGACCCAGCTACCAAACCCAACCAAGAGGGCCCTTACTCTTATGTGTTGCATACTGGTTTCCTTTGGGAGATCGAAATTCATCTCAACACAACTCATTACACATTGTAGTGTTTTTTATTGTGTTTTTGAGTATTTTTCCATAGTTGTATTCTGAGCAGGGTAATGGACTTCGCTGTAAACATGCTTCAGCAACGAATGCGATAATGCGGACAAAAATAGCAAGGTCTATGCTCATCTGACCTTTCAATGTGATTGAAATAACATTAAACGTTAATTTTGTGCTGTGAGAAAATCTGACTGTTTAAACAGTTGTCATGTGCCATGGGGCTTCGGTAGCACCTTGCACCTGTGAGATTGTGGGTTCCATTCTTGCTGCAGACTTGTGACACTTATTTGAAAAGAGTTGGTTAACACTCGACCGAAAGTTGTGTGGGTTTTCTGCGGGTATTCCGGTTTCCTCGCACAGGGAATGTTGTTCTGAATCGTAAGGTGGCTGTCAGAGGCGTCCTTAGAAATCCTTCAAATCAATCGGGTTGAGCTGCGTCATTTACAATTCCGTTTAGCTCTCAGCATGCATCAATATATTTTTATCAAAAGAATATAATATTTTATATAATTTTTTTTTCACACAAAAAACAAATTAATAGCTACTTAATTTCTCTATAATCTGCTGGATAAGGTGATTGGTGATTAACAAACTCTCTTGAGTTTCTATGACAATATCCTTCCATGTTTCTATATAATACAAACCAACAAACATAAGCTTTATTGTAATTGTATCTTTGATAACACTTGTAAATATTTAAATATGACTGTAGCTTGTAAATACATATTTAACCCATTGAGTGGCAGCACTATCCCCCTTACGAGTAAAATCATCTGGAATTAGACAGAGTAAAATAAGAAAGTAGGGTGCAATTAATGCGACTCAATGAGTCAAAATTATGGTGAAATATATTTGATTTGATTTAGCTCACGCCCGCTTACTTACATACTTACTTAATTACGTTTTGATATTTCTATTGAAAATTTTCTTTTGCAGTGACCCTCCTCTTGAAGAAGACGATATTCCTACTGGTGAATGGCTTTGTAATGAATGTAAATCTCTTCCACTTGAGGTACATGGAGATTTACTTCTTACAGTGCTTGTATTTTGGGCAAAAATTAAGAAAAGTGCTCGTCGTTATATGGTGACCCGCCATATTGGTGCTCAGATATTTTCTCGCGTATTCTAAAAGCAATTGTTTCAATGTAATAAGTATTCACAATTCAAATATGGAATACCCGGAGTTTCTTCAAGGGGGTGCTGGACCCCACTAGGAGGGTGTGCACTCCCCTGCACCCAAATGGTAGATCTGCCCCTGATGAAGATAACATCCTGCGTCACCCAACATTGAAGCTCTTAGCTTGAGATTTGGGCACTATAGTGTGTTTTTAATCTGGGTGTCAAAACTGGCTAGAGTTTTAAAATAATAATCTAGGGCACATTAGGGTGCAATCCAACTTAACGAGTCAATTAGAATGTTTGTTGTTGTAATATCATTGTGATTTCTTTGTTGTTGTTTTTTTAGAACGGTATTGGAAATAAAGCTGGCAAGGACCAACCGATTTCAAACGAACATTCCAAAATAAAGAAAGATCAGAATGATAAAATTTCATATCCATTTCAGACTCTTGTTAAAATGAGTTCTGGAAAGAACCCCTCAACCTTTACCCTTCCTCCCGAACTCACTTGTCATACATACTTTCCAGGTAAATGTTTTAATTTTTACACAAACTATTGATTATTAAAACTGACATTTTGCTGCGTATATATTCAGGGTCTCGAACAGTCTGTGCCAGTGTAGGTAGTAACAATAATTAAATATGAAAGCTTTGGAACGATAGGGATGCAGTCACCTGGAAAATACAAGGAGAACTTCAACGTCTCCAGCGAAGGCCCAGGGCAGGAAAAAAGAATTTTCTTCCTGGGAGCACAACCTGGCAACAAATATTTCCTGCAGACCAACAGAGTATTTTTGTGCTAAATCTGCATGTACATAAACATATAGTGTTCTAGCTGACCACGATTTTAAATTCAAGGAATAATGTCTGTCAACCATATGTTGTTGTTAAGATTTCCTTGAAATTTTCAATAGCAAATCTTCATTCAAATGCATTTCCTGCAGCTGTGTAACATTTCCTTTCCATTTCCCATAATTTTTCCACCCCTGCGAAGGCCCTTTGCTCAAAATGTTGAAGTTCTGTTTGTATTTTTCAGGAAGTTGTATCGCTATCAAGTGGCAGCTTTCTTATATTCAGTATCTGCAGGATGCTGAAATATGTTTTGAATTTCATACCCTGTAGTAAATTGCTGTTTGACATATTTGGATGTGGTTGTACACTTGTACTCTTATGTTTCGCACAAACGTGAGGTCGTGACATTGGTTCACAGGTTTAGCAGGAGAATCTACTGATTATTTCATACTTTGCAATCCCAGGTGACAGAAAGAGAAAACTTGAAACTGAAGAAAAAGTATCGAGTACTGGTACGAAGAGCGATAAAAAGTAGGAACAGCTTTCTTCATCAGTTTTTAATTGAATTTGATTTTTGTAAAAATTCGATTATCATGTTGTATAATCCATAATTGACAAGGCCTAGCAAGCAAATACTTTATGATATATCTTTCCAGGGACTCAGATTTCGATGAAGGTTGCCATCTTGACAAGTTGTGCTTTGCATGTTCAAAGTAAGTTTAAGCTGCCAGAGTTCAATGGTGCCTAAATTACAGAGTTTGGCAATGCCACAAGATTTACTTTGTTTACAATTCTTCTCTCCTTCCTCCACTCTAAGCTTTCAAACAAAGTTATTTTTCCTAAACCTCGTAACCTTTCGAAAACGACGTACTATTTCGCAAACCTGATTTAGTTATTTGCCATCTTAAATCTTATCGAAGAATGTTATCTTGTTTAGGACTTCGAGAAATTCTCTTTATGGCGATCTGATTGAGTGTGATTTCTGTCCTCTGTCATTTCATACAAACTGCTTACAACCTCCACTGACCAATAGACCTCCGGGAATGTGGATGTGTCCTAACCATGCCGAACACGCCGAGGTAACTAAGATTTCACAGACAGTCCAGTGTGTCTAGATATAGATAGATATATATATATATATATATATATATATATATATATATATATATATATATATATATATATATATATATATATATATATATATATATATATATATATATATATATATATATATCTAGAGCGAGAAGTCGAATCCAAAGAATGAAGTCAAGATGGTAGAAATGTATGATTCTAGCTATAGTCTAAATTTTGATCTAGGCAAGAAGAACAAAATCCATCCATTACCACAGCTAGAAAGAGCATGTTAAAATTAGTAAAATTGCAAAGTTTGGCCGCGAAATGTTGTAAAATGCGGAAAATATAGCTCTGCGAAATTTGCAAATTTTGTATTAATTTGTATTACTCGCGGGAAAATGCACCAACTACATTTGGGCCGAAAGTGGTGCATTTTCCCGCGCGTGATACAAATTAATACAAAATCTGCAAATTTCGCAGGGCTATATTTTCCGCATTTTACAACATTTCCCAACCAAACTTTGCAATTTTACTCATTTTAACATGCTCTTTCTAGCTGTGGTGATGGTTTTGTTCTTCTTGCCGAAATCAAAATTTAGTCTATACTATAGCTGCAATCATCAAGTATTATTTTGACTTCGATTTAAAATAATAATACTATGGTTTTATGAACTGATAACTTATTTAGCAATACGGTCCGTTAGAAAAAATACTGGAATTAGCTTGGGAAATGGTATAAAATTTGTTTACGACCTTCAGAGCTATTGGACGTCAATGGCTGCCATCTTGCCTTCATTTTTCTCATAGGCCGAATGTCTGAAGTTATTGCTCCAGATATATAGAGCTCACTGAGACAGTTTACGAATTTAGATAAAAGAAAAGGCCTTTAAACTGTTTACTAAATTCTTGTTTTCAGCCTGGTTTGAAAGATCCACGATTCAGTCGACGTCTCAAGGCTTATGATGAACTACGTAACAATATCTCACAACATACAATCAAAATGGATTTTCTCGATCGTGTTCATCGGTAATATTTGATTACATACTTCCTATGAAACTGAGACCATTATAAAATTGCTTGAAACGCTATAAAACGGCGGAAATAAAAGAAAGTTGGGACATTTATCAAATCTTTATTTTGTTAATCTAGAGCTCTAGAGTTGAGAAGCGAGAGTTTACATGCATGAGAGTTGATGAGTGTTTAGAAGCGAGAGTTTGCATGAGAGTTTTCTCAACTCTCATGCCCCGGTCAAACGAGAACAAGAGTTGCATGAGAGTTGATGAGAGTTGAGAAGCGAGAGTTTGCTTGAGAGTTTTCTCAACTCTGAAACCCCGGTCAAACGAGAACAAGAGTTGCATGAATATTATCGCGCGCGTAGCAAAACTCTCATTAAAATTTGAATCAGTTCAATGTTGATGTGAGGGCATGAGAGTTGGCTGTCAAACGAGAGCTAACTTGTATATTGTTGCTTATTTTTAATTTTTTTTAGACTTCGGAGTCATCCTGATTTTGATAGAAAGCAAGAATCGTGGAAACGAAAACGACTGACACTGGTACGGAAGCGTTAGGATGTTAGAGTACTGCTCAGAAATTATCGAACAGTTTGCGTTCATTTTGTGTTCCTTGGCGTTCCAAACACGTTCCAATAATTTTTCTACGTTTTCTCATTCACTTGCAGGTTCCAGAGTCGATCAAATGGCATTACAAGAACCCTCCATTTCAACAGCTGCCTGAGCATATCCAAGATTCAGTGAAGCCTCTGCCTCCCTACAGGGTGCCTGTCACTCCTCCTAAATCCTCCGAACAAGAAGAGGTAGCTATTGTTTTGTAGAACGTTTCAATTTCAAACGCTTCTCATGAATTCATTCGTAAACTTTTCACAGTGTTCTCCTTAGAGATGCAGTACGAATTCTCCTTAGTCAGTGGGCACAGAGACCTTACAGAAGGCCGACCTCTTGGTTCTGCCTATGATTTTGGCGTAACGGCAAAGAGACATTCACCCCCTGAAAATGTTCTAAATGGCGGACGTTCAGGGGGGTGCAAGCCTCTCAAGTGCACTGGCTAGGAACATGGCGAGTGGATTTTGATGACGAATCATGGCGTGGCGGCGTTTACGCTCCCAAATTAAACTAACTGTGTTTTTACTGCGAACAACTTTAGCAGTTTTAAACTGTTCTCCCTTAGAGATCCAATAAGGCATGAGCCTTATTAATAGGTCCAGTGTTACGACAGGAGGAAACCTGAATTAACTTTCTTTATGCTGGATAGTTGCTCAAAACAAGCGCTATGTTTATAATATTTTTAGCATAAAATACGTGGTCATAATCTCCATATAATAATTTCTGGGCGGCCAGTTTTACTGGAGTGACATCCTGGCTAAAAGCGTGCTTTGTTTTGTATTGGCTATTCTTGTATGATTTGGGGTTAATATATTTTGTTTTACCTTCTAGTGGCTCAAATCAGTCGTGTCGTTACAATGTGACATTGCAAAACACCTAGCATCATTGTCAGTACCAAAACCTCAAGATGGGGTGAAAAAGACCGTTAAAGCTGTAATATCCGGGACTACCAATCACGTCATTTCAAACAACAAAATCCCGAGCCAAACTCCAAACAACTGCAGCAATTCCACCGAAACTAAAACTCCTAAAACTTTAAATTTGAATTCAACTTCGAGTATTAACACGTCAACCGCTAAAACGGTGACGACAACGAAGCCGAACACCGTGGCGGCTAAGGTAGTCACCAGTTCTTCCACGAATTCGGCGCATACTTCGACGGTGACGTCATTTTCCCGCGTGGTTACCACGCATACTGTGACTTCTGGCGGGAAAACTCTGACTAAGCCAATCACGATTCTCTACGCGTCGCCGTCGAAAAACCTGACTCAGCAAAATGGAGTTAGCTCAAATATGACAAAACATTTGAATAACACGAAACCTATAGCAAAGGTGGAAGGCAATGTTAAAAAGCCGATAGTTCAGCAACCTGGTGCAAAAACTGCACTACAAAATTCAAACATCAAGACAACGGTAGCTCAAAATGCGAACATAAAGAGTCCCACAGTTCAAAACTCAAAGGCCAATTTAATACTGTCACCAAGTTCTAAAAACTCTACACTGCAAAGTTCGTCCGTTAATTCAGTAAAGGCAACGGTAAAAGGTGATTTGAAAACTTTATCGAATGGACCTGTAACCAAACCGCGAACTATAGGCGAAACAACCGCGGTTAAACCAAGGACTATAGGCGAAACGACCAAGGCTGTGAGTGTTTCACCGCCCGGAACTAATAGCCCAAGGACTATGAGTGTGGTAGGAACTGTGTCCACGGGACTAAATTCCGGTAGTGGAGCTACAAAGGTCATAGTTTTAACAAATACTGGCGGTGGGAATATCATTAAGAGTATCGCAAATACGACCACGAGCACGCAAAGGACTGTGGGAAGTTCTGGGACGCATGGGAATTCTGGATCGACGACTACGGTTACAAGTCCAAGCGTGCAAAGGATTGTGGTACAGTCTAGTCCTCAGAAAGGGTTGGTGAATGGAGGTGGACCCAATAATGGGCCTTCTGTGACTCCAACGTCGCAAGCAGCAAGTCCAGTCAGCACGATTTGTGCTGTGTCAGGATTAGATACCATACAAGGTTAGTTCTAGGGTGAACTAGAGGGCACTGGGTGACATGGCCGGATTTTGAGGGGAGGCGCGCACCTCCCCTGAGATCGTTTTGCACCCAGTGGCGTAGCTACCGAAATTTGACTTGTCTTGCTCTAAGACGAACACATTCTAGGGGGGATCCGGAAAATTTTGTGTACCTCACCTGAGAATTTTCGCACCTCCCCTGAAAAGTCATATACCATTATACCCTCCCCTTGGGAAAGTTCCAATGATAGATCAAAGTGAAAATTTGACCTTTTTTTTTGGTTGCTTAGGGTCTACACTTCATAAGAAAATGTTTCTGTAAAATTGAAACAGTGATAGCCATTCATCTCTGTGTCCCATTTAATGCAATGTTTTGAAAGAAACTTTGTAGTAATTGTAGTGAAGGGCAAAATTGGATCAGTTATACAGTCATAACTCATTAACACACTGATACATATGTACACTACATGCATACGTCACGTCATTGACTTTGGCCCGTTGTAAGCCCTAACTTTCCATGGAGGTCGTGAGCTGGACCGCTGCACCTCCCCTAAATTTTTTTCCACCTTCCCTATTATTTCAAATGGAATTAAGTTATGTATCATTCATAAATTATACAATGGACTAATTATGCATTCAATTTATTCTGCATGGTAAAGCAAGACAAACTTTGCTAATTTCTAGTCCAACTTGAACCAAAATTTGATCGATTTGTCCTTGGACTTATTTCTAGTAACCCCACAAATTTGAAGATGTTGAATTATCGTGGTGACAGAAACAAACATCCATAGAAAGCCTCATTGGCGGATTTACTGGGTGGGGGGGGGGTAAACCCCTCTTAGAATCTCTCTAACCCCTCTTATAAAGTGTCCAACCCCACCAAAATTTCGCTTCACCCCTCTTATTTTGTGTGAAAGTCTTTAACCCTAAAGGCCCATTTCCACTCAGGAAAATTTTCCGCAGAAAGAAAATTTTGTAAAATGTGATTGGACCGACACAAATTTTCCCTCGGAAAAAAATTTTGATGTTGAAAATTTTCAACTTTTAACAATGATATTTTCGGAAAATTTTGTGTCCGTGGAAATTTCTCCTGAGTGGAAATCGGCCTTAACGCCTTAGCCTAACGGCAATTGCTAGATAGTATACTTCAAAATAAGATTTCCGTTTTTATATCAATTTTTAAAATAATTAAAATAAGTTAGGGTTATGTTAGGATTTAGGTTAGGGTTAGGGCGAGGGTTAGTATTAGGGTTAGGGCTTAGTTTTGCGTTAGAATAGTTTTTTCTACGTTATAAAAACGGAAACCTTATTTTGAAGTATACTATCTAGCGATCACCTTAGCCTAACCCCTGTAAAAATTTCGCTCAGTGTTGCCGCTTGCACCCCACTAGAAATTTTTCCACCCCTCCTTTAAAAAAAAAGGGAAAATCCGCCCTTGCAAAGCCTCGTTTTCAGGCTGTTTTCTATTGGTATTTGACCAAAGTAAAACTCTGTAATTTTGTAGTGCAAGTAATAAAACATTTTAGGAGCAATTTATTTAAAAAATAAATTAGGATTAATAAGAGGCAACATCCATACCGAAAACTATGTAACCTAAACGGAAACGATAAGCAAAGAAAACAACCCTTTGCTCTCCGGGCAATGTCTGCCAAGCGTCAATGCCAAACTGCCAATATAATCCCATTTTGCTAAGCCGACATTCTTCAGTTATCAGCAAAAGCTAGCCAAATTTTATCTCAGTTCACTCTGGTTTCAACGGTCTTCGAGACAACATAAAAGGAAAATCCCACCCACCCAACCCTTTGATGAAGAACATGATCCAATAATCAGGAAATATAGAAACTCAATTTAAAATATAAGAAATCAATTGTAATCATATCTATATTGTTCTGTTTTATCAACTTGTAAATAATTTTATACATTCAAGAAGAAATAAAGAAAGCGGGACGGAAAGTGGTGTCCACACGGCCACACTTCGCCCACGGTGAAGCACACACCGGCGAAAGAGAGCAAGGTCCATAACGGCGGGGGCCCCTTACCCTCGTCCTGATCTTCGCATCTCTCGATCACTTCACCACGGGGAAGCCCGGCTCGGACATGAGATTCAATGTCCATAACGGTGAGAGCCCTTACTCTCACCCTGATGTTGTTTCTCCAGCTTTTCTGGGGACCCCTTACCCCCAAGAAACCGCACTTTCCGTCACCCAATTTGGCCACAAAGGATTTGCGTGATTTATTAATAATGGAGTTGATGTTTATTTTCAGAGTCTGAATTAAGTAAACTTGACCCTCGTCTTGTTCATGTCCTGGCGTATCAAAGACTGCAGCAATTGATAACACAAACTACTAGCAAGGTGAGATGACCAGATTAATCATTCCTCCCCCTAAAATGCGGGCGGGAGGAATTTAAAGGCGGGCGGGTCTGAGGAGAGAAAATTTAGAAAAAGGGAATAGGTCCTTCTATAGTACTATATATATGTATGTGCATACAATACGATAAAAAATTATTTATACTGTAGTGACAGAATACAGCATCAGGACCTGACTTTTATCGCGGCAATTGCCGTGGAGGGAGAACAAAATGCCGTGGATCATTGCGGCAACGACGGCAATTTTTTGCCGTATAGTGCAATTTTTATACTATTCACTGTGCACTGATTACTCTTTTGATACTTGAATTCAGATGTTGATCAAATCATGTGTAAACTACTATTTTAGTCTCAGTTTTCTTCGAAAAAAAAAACACTAAAGAAATAGGAAAACATGTTTCTAGCTTGTCAGCAATCCAAAGTAACAATAGAATTAAATTTTTATTACAGTAATTTGAAAAATGCCGTGGAAACTGCCAAAATTCCCGTGCAGCAAATTTTACAGCTGTTACGTTCTACGGCAAATTTTAACACCATTGCCGTCGATTGATTTCAGAGAAATTCGAGGCCTGTACAGCATGCATAGATAATGACAACATTTTAAGTAATAATCTACTGATTTACAAGATTGCCGTGTGGGACTTCATATAGAGAACGTACCCTTCTCTACATACATGTGTGTACAACAAATATTTTAGAAATGTCTTTATTTTCTTCATAGGTGAATCCGACAAACTCGACTGTTGCAAGGAAGATTTCTTTTAATAGTAGCAAAGAAACGGTTGTCTTGCCGCAAAACGGTAAGTACACACAATCAAAACATTGAGTCAATAAATTATATAATTTGTTTGTTCATCATGTTCTGATTTTGATGTTCTGATGTTTAATTTTCCTTGTAGTTCCTCGAGGTAAAGCTATGGCAGTTCTTTGTCCGATGCATGGCGAAGGTACATCGTGCCCGATGATCTATAAAACACTAAACATTGGACAAGGTAGGCTATATTTCTACTGGATAGCTCTATCAGTTCTGAAATGTTCTCCCTAGAGGTCCAGTAAGGATCATCTCTTATTGGTCCAGTATACCACAGAATGAAACCTAAAGTAAACTAACTTTATTTATACTGGACAGCTCTATCAGTTCTGAACTGTTCTCTCTAGAGGTCCAGTAAGAGTTATCTCTTATTGATCCAGTGTTACTACAGGAGGAAACCTAAATTAAACTAACTTTATTCATACTGGATAGCTCTATCAGTTCTAAACTGTTCTCTCTAGAGGTACAAGTAAGAGTTGTCATTTATTGATCCAATGTTACTTATTTCCAATGTCAATGTTATTTATTTTCTTAGGACCTGACATGGATGTATGTTTGAGGAATTATGGGTATTGTAATTATTTATCAGATAAACATTGTTCGATATTTTATGATGAGGTAAGTGAGATTTATTTGTACGCCTGCGTTTCTTATGTATAGAGTTTGGAAAAGAGATTTAGATCTCTGCATACGAAACTTAAAATGGCTTCACGTTTTAGCACTTATCATTGACAATTATACAAAACACAAACTACAATAACGAACAAATAATTATTACGATATTTGCCGTGTGACGCGCCTCATCGAGAACTGAATTAATTTTAAAGTTGACTTAAACCATTTTTAAAGTTTCGTTTTCAAAGACTTTTTTGCGTTTAGGCAAAAAAAAATATGTGGGTTTCCGGTTTCTTCTTATAAAAACTTAGATAGGGTAGGTCGGTTTTAACTTTTTTTTTAAACTTTTTTTTTTAATTTTCCGAACAAGCGGACGCCATTTTGTTTAGTCGGTGCTTCCACATCCAAAGATAAATTTCCCTAATATTGCCTCAAATTTCAATTTTCCACAAACTTTTTCCTCTAAGTGGAAACACTTACAACCATGATCCAATAAAAAAGTTTAGGGTCGGGATTTCGACGTCCAAAAGCTAGGTAGGTTCGGGAAACCGGAAACCCACATATTTTTTTTGGCCTTATTAAATCCTCGGCGTTTCCTAGGCAACGAAGCAGTATGAACTTTTGAACTACAGCGAGCACGGTACATACGTTGATAATGTTCTATATTCCTGTGATTTCTCCGATAAACCCCACCGGACATGTGTCACCTCCGCCCGGAAATTAGACCCCTCGAGGTTATCCAAGGACAAACTCCTGGGGGATCGAAAACCCGGTTCCAAAGAATCGGCGTCGCGAAGAACGGCGGGATTTGGCATCCAACTCGTTACTAGGCCTTGCAACTGCTCGGCCAGTAGCTCGACCCTGATTGGTGGCAGCGGTGCAGGATGGGAAGGTACGGCCACGTTGCATCACGGGAGTTATGTAAAAATGGGTTGTCTGCAGTTCGTGTTTAGTATCGTGAATCAGGCTGGAAAGTTTGATGCGACCAGAAAGATTAAAACAATGAAGAACGAGAAATTATAAGATAGTTTTTATTTATTAAGGGTAATGTTATGCTGTAAGCAAATTCTTCGTCTCGATTGCGCAATTGACAAAGCCACTAGACGAATTTGTTCGCACGAAGTGAATTTTTCCTTTGTCGTACTGACTGACTGACTGACGTACAACATACATACATACATACATACATACATACATACATACATACAAAAATGTATTTATGCACGCTGACCTCAACAACTCAGATATGATTTCCATGAGGGGCGTGATTTTAGAAAGAATATACAGATAAACATTAACAGACAAAACGAAAATACAAAAACAAAGAAAGAAGGAATTACTATATAGGCAACAGGACGAGCCAATTTTAATTGTTTGCCTGATTAATAATTCTTTGAAAAGAACTTAAAGATTCCGCTACTTTTACCTCATACGGTGATAAGCGATGCCATCAAAGGAAAAAGTCGTTTCTTAGCGCCACAAATTTTATTCAAAAAAAAATTTTGTAAAAATTATTTTTGTAAAAATTCTTCTAGTTCGCTGGTTGCACAATCGAGTCTTGGAATTTGTTTTAATTTTAATGTGTACATTGGTGTCCGCGTTATGGGTGAAATTAGTGTCTGGTAATTTCTTTTAGACTTTTAAGTGTTGACCAAAATGTTGAAGTTCTCCATGGCAACTTCAAAGTTAGCGAAAATCAAAATAATAACGACCAATTAGCAAAACAAGTTGTTTCTGTAAAAAAACCCGCATGTGGCAGTGTTTCAGTCGTTGAAATTCGACGCTGAATGGTACTCTAAATTGAGAGTCTTTTAAAAAATAATAATTTAACATACCAAAGCCATTTCGTTGGGGTTTTAGATTCATATCACAGACATAAATGCATACCTCTTAAATTTCTAACCTGCGAATGGGCGTACTCTGCCTTACGAATTTAGGGAATTAAGGTAGCATTAATACGACATGCGTACTAAAAGGCAGGGGGACTTATAATCTGAGGTTTATCCAAAACACATCCTCAAAACAGGCTTAGTTTGTTTCGTTATTAATTTCGTGCAAAATTTAAGTACTGAGAACACATCACTGCCTAATGGGAAAATCGCATTCTCTTGCATATTTCTCTTGCATTATTGACATTAGCTTCTGTTGTTTGTAATAATTTGTAATTTATTGATAATGTATAAAGTGTAAATAACTTATTATATCGCTATATATATATTATGCACGATCATATATTTACCTATTGCAATTCAATAAACCGTGCCGGTTTTCGGTGCAAAAGTATGTTTGTCTACTGTAGTGTTTTGCTTCTAAAAATTCCTATTTGTTCTTTAAAATATTCACAATGTGCTCAAACTGTGCAATGCCTCCACGGGGTCGAACAAGGCTGATAACAAATGCGTAATGCGTTATACAGAATACCCAGCCGCATCTGCTTAACATCTGCTTTTTTGTTTGTCATAGCCATCGATCGAGCGGTTACTGCAGTAAAACTATTATAAACTAACTTTAATTATTTATCTTGGTCTATCAGTTTTGAACTTCTCTTCCTAGAGATCCCATAAGAGTCCTGTGTATTACTGTGTATTGGCCCAGTATATGGTTTTCTTTACTTTGTCTGTGCGATGCAGTGCGTGTATTTATATTGGACAGCTCATACGTTTTGTTGAAACAGTTTTCCCTAGAAATCCAGTAAGGATAATCTCTTATTGATCCAGTGTTACCAAAGAAACAACCTAAACTAACTTTATTTATACTGGATAGCTCTATCAGTTCTAAACTGTTCTTCCTGGAGGTCCAGTAAAGTTCATCTCTTAGTGCTCGAATGTTTATACAGAAAGAAAACCTCAACTAAACTAACTTTATTTATACTGGATAGCTCTATCAGTTCTAAACTGTTCTCCCTAGAGATCCAGTAAGGATCATCTCTTATTGATCCAGTGTTACTACAGGAGGAAACCTAAACTAAACTAACTTTATTTATACTAGATAGCTCTATATCAGTTCTAAACTGTTATCCCTAGAGATCCAGTAAGGATAATCTCTTGTTGATCCAGTGTTACTACAGGAGGAAACCTAAACTAAACTAACTTTATTTATACTGGATAGCTCTATCAGTTCTAAACTGTTCTTCCTAGAGGTCCAGTAAGGATCATCTCTTATTGATCCAGTGTTACTACAGGAGGAAACCTAAACTAAACTAACTTTATTTATACTGGATAGCTCTATCAGTTCTAAACTGTTCTCCCTAGAGATCCAGTAAGGATAATCTCTTGTTGATCCAGTGTTATACTACAGGAGGAAACCTAAACTAAACTAACTTTATTTATACTGGATAGCTCTATCAGTTCTAAACTGTTCTCCCTAGAGATCCAGTAAAGGTCACTCCTACATGGTCTTGTACACAAGGGCAAAACCGAAGGTGTAATTCCCCTATCATCAACATATGCATTTGCCCGATGATATGAACTAACTAGCATACCTCGATGTCACACACTAGACTCTACTAAGACATTAAATTCTTTAAAACCTATTATCTGGGCGTTTGTTTTAGAAGCAAACGGATTAGCAACGGATATATGGGCCATTACCATATGCCAAAGTTAAGCCGTGGTCTTTTCAACTCGAGCCATTTAGCAGTAGGCCTTGGTTAAGCGTTTAATTCTTAGATACATCTATCCGTCCTTAGTTCAATTCAGTTGAAATTATTTAATTTTCTTGTTGATTTTTGCCTAGACTGACAAGATAATGTCAAATGATTCGAGCGTCTTGGTTAATGGGTTTTAAGGGTCACTGATACCTTCGTTAGATTTTGCTTAAGACCTTGATTTTGCTTAAGACCTTGATTCCACAGCCTTAATTCTCAAGTTGACTTTTCATAAGTGCTTAGACATTCTTTCGAGCCATTTAGTTGACTTCGCGTGACTTTCAGTTGACTTTTGCTTAGCATCCAAACACTTGCATTAAAAACTCTGTAGTAATATGCACTGGATCAATATGAGCCTTATTGCACCTCTATAGGGAGAACACTTTAGAATTGATAGAACTGTCCAGTATGAATAAAGTCTGTTTAGTTTAGTTTAGTTTAGTTTAGTTTAGTTTAGGTTTCCTCCTGTAGTAACATGCACTGGATCTGTAGGGAGAATAATTTGGAACTGATGGAGCTATCCAGCTAGTGTAAATAAAGTTAATTTATAGTTTGTGTTTTTTTCTCCTGTAGCAACACTGGATCAATAAGAGATGTCTCTTAATGGACCTCTAGAGAGAACAGTTTAGATCTGATAGAGCTATCCAGTAATCAGTATAGATAAAATTAATTTGGTTTAGGTTTCCTCCTGTAGTGACACTGGATCAATAAGAGTAGACCCAATAAGAGTAGGCGTGACTTTCAGTTGACTTTTGCTTAGCATCCAAACACTTGCATTAAAAACTCTGTAGTAATATGCACTGGATCAATATGAGCCTTATTGCACCTCTATAGGGAGAACACTTTAGAATTGATAGAACTGTCCAGTATGAATAAAGTCTGTTTAGTTTAGTTTAGTTTAGTTTAGTTTAGTTTAGGTTTCCTCCTGTAGTAACATGCACTGGATCTGTAGGGAGAATAATTTGGAACTGATGGAGCTATCCAGCTAGTGTAAATAAAGTTAATTTATAGTTTGTGTTTTTTTCTCCTGTAGCAACACTGGATCAATAAGAGATGTCTCTTAATGGACCTCTAGAGAGAACAGTTTAGATCTGATAGAGCTATCCAGTAATCAGTATAGATAAAATTAATTTGGTTTAGGTTTCCTCCTGTAGTGACACTGGATCAATAAGAGTAGGCCCTTACTGGACCTCTAGAGAGAACAGTTTAGAACTGATAGAGCTATCCAGCATAAATACAGTTAGTTAAGTTCAGGTTTCCTCCTGTAGTGACACTGGATCAATAAGAGATGGCCCTTACTGGACCTCTAGAGAGAAGAGTTTAGAACTGATAGAGCTGTCCAGCATAAATAAAGTTAGTTAAGTTCAGGTTTTCTCCTGTAGTAACACTGGATCAATAAGAGGTAACCTTTACTGGATTTCTAGGGAAAACTATTTCGACAGAGCGTATGAGCTGTACAATATAAATAACGCGCTGCATGGCACAGACAAAGTAAAGAAAACCACCAGCCACTCACCTTTGTCTGTTCTCACGCTTGCTAATGGTTTTCGTATTTAGATAAAAAATACTTGGCTTGATAGATTCTTTGTTCTTCAACATGTCTTTGAATGGCAGTTCTTTTCAACAGTCAGAAATGACAAATTGCTTCCATTTTCGTGTTGATATTCCGGCAAACAAGGTCATATAGCACTTGTTTTTGATCGGAAGAAAGTATAAAATTACGACATTGCGTCAAGGTTTAACCCATTAAGCTGCAAGCAATGATTTCGAAATTAAGTTGACTTATGTTCGCATTAACGCAGGTGTAAAAGATTTGAATATATTTCCAAGAAATTTAACGCAACTGGGATCGTATAGATCAGCCTCGTTTCGGCTCATAGAGCCCTTTCTTGTTCCTGATGACTTAATTATATAAAGGTATTTTATATTATCTAATATAACCGGTTGTATGGTTTCGTAAATGCGTCCATCTGTGACAAGATAAAGGACTCGAAACCCAATATCGCAAATTGTGAAAACGAGGCTGTATAGGCAAGCGTAAGTACTTGAGTGTAGCCAGACGATATTTTGGCTGGGGAAAATGGGATTGGATTCCCCCCACCTCACTCCATCACCACCTCGCCACACCCCCACCAGGACACTCTTGAACAACAAAGGTAGAGTCCAGCCCCCCCCCGTGGTAATGCAGTGTGGAAACTTAAACTAAACTAAGGCCTGTTCCAAACGTCGCGCTTCTCATGTGCCGAACGCATTAAAAACAATAGATAATCATTTTTTCTGTGTTGGTGTTGTGTACTCAGGTGGATATGATGTTTGTGATGTTACTCTGAGTGTATATCCGCACCGGGCTAGCTTGAAAAATTTATTACACTGGTATCGAAGGAACTAGATTCTGTTCCGAAATATCACTTACTCGAACCGTCCTGACCGCGTAGCTCAGTTGGCAGAGCATTGGGCTAGTATTCCAAAGGTCGTAGGTTCGATTCCCACCATGGCCGGGCATATTTTTCAAGCTCGCCCGGTGTGGATATACACTCAGAGTAACATCACAAACATCATATTCACCTGAGTACACAACACCAACACAGAAAAAATCATATTACTAGATCACACTGGTATCGAAGGAACTAGATTCGGTTCCGAAATATCACTTACTCGAACCGTCCTGAACGCGTAGCTCAGTTGGCAGAGCATTGGGCTACTATACCAAAGGTCGTAGGTTCGATTCCCACCATGGCCGGGCATATTTTTCAAGCTCGCCGGGTGTGGATATACACCCAGAGTAACATCACAAACATAAATAGATAATCAGCTGAAAAGCCTCATTATCTATTTTTTCTAATGCGTTCGGCACATGAGAAGCGCGACGTTTGCCACAGGCCTAACTCTTATTTTTTACTGGGCAGCTTTATCTAACTCTGTCTTTTACTGGGCTGCTCTGTCAGTTCTACCGATGATTTCGTGCATAAATCAAGATGACAAAAACATAGATAATGAAGTCTGTTATGTCTGCATCGAATTACCTAACCTTTTCTATTGACCTGACTCTAATAGCGCTTGCTGCGAGGAAAAAAGTAGCCACAAATAATTGCTTAAATTACAATATACACGCAATACTTTGGTGTACTGGTTAAATATAACACACTATAACACACTGAGATTATTCGGCATAATTCCTATATACATTTCTTTTGTTATGTTGTTCTTTGTTTTTTTCACATAAATATTTCACACAAACTATATGTACATGTTTTTCTTTATTTCTTCATCCTTGCACTGCGATGCTTCGAACCGACTCATTTGCATCACAGGAAAAAATTGAATTTCCCATTAATATTAAACATGATTTTTACCAATTTACCATTTGGAAAATCTATAGTAACCAATAATGCTAAGAGTTCAGTTTTGACATTGGTAGTAGACATGGTAAATCTTTAAAAAACATTCAAAAACCCATCAATGGAAATTTAAATTTTTTCCAGTTACTTGCATCCAACGAACACTCGTTTTTATCTGCGAGTGTTGAAGACATCTTCATGCAGATGTACCAGAAAGCTGTGGGATTGATAGGGACTCAACTGACTTAAAAATACAAGCAAAACGTCGACGTTTCGAGTGAGGGCCCACCATTGATGAAGGCCTATGATTTGCTGAAGCCAAAATAGTTTTTCTGAGTTATGAGCAGAAATACTTCAGATCCCAAACGTTGGGCTATATATCAAACTGAAGCTATTGAAAATTGCTATTCGGTGTGGAAATTTCAAGACCTCGGCGAAAAGAAACATATTTTAAAAATACAAAAACAACTGCCATTGGGCCAAAAATGGCAAATTATCGGCAATTATTTTTGTAGTTTTTAAATATTTCCCTTTTAGCAAAAGTCTTGAAATTTCTACACCAAATAGCGTTTTTCAATAGCTTCAGTTTCATATACAGCACAACGTTGAGTGTTGAGTATTTCTGCTCATAACTCAGAAAAACTAAAATGCACTGGCTTCAATCCCCCCCCCCCCTGACTTAGCCTTCCAGTTTACTTATAGTTCAATGTAGAAATTTTGCTTGTATTTTTCATGTAGTTTTATCCCTCTCGATCCCACAGCTTTCTGGTGTTATTAGAGACCTTCAAGGCACAGTTCAGCCTTTTGAATGATGGTTTTTAAGGCGCATTTCAGCTCTTTCAATTGAAAAAACTAACTAGGAAAATCAATAATGCACAATTCAAGATCAGTAAACTCAATGTTTTTAACAATAAAAATGTTTTAAAATATTAAAAACATTGAGTTTGCTGATCTTGAATTATGCCTAATTGATTTACCTAGTTAGTCTTTTCAATTAAAAGGGCTGAAATGCGCCTTCAAAACCATCATTCAAAAGGCTGAACTGCGCCTTCAAGATGTAGGACGGCAAAACGACGGTCAAAACAAGTCCATTCAAATAAATGATTGCAGAAAGCTTATCGTATATTATCAATCGTATGAATTTAAAACGGCCCGAAGAGATCAAAACAGTGGCTTTTTATTGAGTAGAATTCCACATTAGTACTGAACCAATTTGCAGAGTATCCACTTCTTACGTACTAAAATGCAAATATTGTACACAGGACGTAAAAGCTCTGGTTTACCCGTTGTAAACAGATCGTGGGCGACGTCTAAATCTCCCGCGTGGTATTTTAATTATTAATTTCTTTTCTTAAATATGATAAGAGGTAATTTTTTTCAATGTCACGTATTTGCAATGAAAAGTGTTCAAAACCTAAAATATTTTTGGCGTTCCTCTCAAAATTACTTTGTTTTAGCTTTATTCTCTAGTTTATAGAGTTAGCTACCTTTTTAAATGCATCTGCCGGTTGAGAAACATAAAATAATAGTTAAAAATTGTCAATTAAAATACAAATATCAATGATGCTTTAAAATTGACGCCATATTTACAGCCATATAAGCAAAACTTACTGAATTTCAGACATCATTTTCTCTTTGGCGTATCATCTAAAATCTCTTCATTTTAGCATTATTTTACAGATAAAACACTAAACATACTTTTTAAGTTTGTTTGCCGATTGAAAAACGTTCGAAAAATAAAAATTTTCAATTTAGTCATAACCTCAAGTGGAATATTATACGCATTAGTTTTGAGCGCGTGTTACGTAACATACAAAAAAATCTCCTCTTAATTTCATTGTATTCCAAGCCGTCGTCATCATGTTGCCGTCCTTGATCTTAAGGTGGAGTTACACGAGCAACAAAATTGCTGCAACTTGCAACAAAATCTGATTTCAACGCATGTTAAGTAGAAATGTCGACACATGTTGCCTCGTGATTTGTAATTTATGTGTAAACATTTTCAATTAACATGCGTTGAAATCAGATTTTGTTGCAAGTTGCAGCAATTTTGTTGCTCGTGTAACTCCACCTTTAAGGTCTCTATTATCGTTACCTGCGCTTGCGCAGACCGCGTTCGAGTTTATTTATGTCTTCAGAGCACCGATGGTTGTGCGATCTGCTCTGTCCACTTTGTCCCAGCATCTTGGGGATCCAGTTTCGCACGGTAGTTCACAACCCGCAATAACATGTCCACATTCATTTCTCCTTCTCGGCACAACTCGCCTGCGAGCCCTCCTCGTTCTCGTTCCCAGTCTTACTCTCCTTTTTATGTTTCATTCTTCGATTTTGAAACCAAGTTTTAATCTGCGTCTCATTCAGCGCCAGGCTTTGCGCGAGCTTCGCGCGGCTTGTCGTGTCCAGGTAGCGCTGTTCGGAAAACGTCTTTTCCAAAACTTTGAGTTGCATTTCCGTAAAGACAGTTCGTGACTTCCGGCATCGTTTGCCGCTGGGCGTGCGTAACGTGGGCTTCACTCTGAAGTAAACCGGAAGTGCGCTTAAGACCTCTGGACTGGGATCTAAATTAGAAGACACAAATGTTATGTCCAATTTAAAACTTGCAAATCAGCCATCGCTTTGACTCGTTAACCTAAGACCCTTGGAATACTAGCCCATTGCTCTGCCAACTGAGCATTAGCAGGGCATTATTGGGCTAGTATTCCAAGGGTCGTAGGTTCGATTCCCACCGTGGCCAGGTATATTTTTCAATCTTGCCCGATGTGGATATACACTCAGAGTAACATCGCAAGCATCATTTTTTTTTTTTAATTTTATTTTCCCATCTACATTACAAGTAACTATTTGGGCTAGAGTCCTACTAGAAACCTTTGCAGGCTTTTGTTTCTAGGCCACTAGTCATGTCCTATTTAGATGATTTTATTATTTACAGTGATTTTTAAGATAATATTAAATGCAGAAGAAAAATTTTATATAAGGTATATACAAGATATTTATACATATTTGAGGCCGGTATGAAGGGTAAATACTGTAGTGTTTACAATATTAAGATAAAGAGATATACTAGTTAGATTATTATATGGTATTATTTTGCACAATCACAATGCATGGACAGACATTGTCTGCATAAAGAAAGTGTGATTTCTGAATCTATGTATTTTGTAACTGGATTTAGTATAAAGTGTTGCTTAATTAGTTTCTTGAAGCTTTCAGATTTGTTTCTAATTTCTTCCACACATCAACTCCTTTATTTGAAAGAGTGTGTTTTACATAATTTGTTCTCTTATAACATTTAAAAAGTTTTGATGCGTTTCTCGTATTATGTTGATGAATTTGATTGTGATCATTTATGCGCTTTAAATCAAGTATTACTCTTAGTAGCTTACCTAATTACTTAGGGCCTGTTCATATGGGCAAAAGTTATCCCGGTTAACGAGAAAACTTTTCGACTAGCCAAATACTTTTGTTCTGTTCATATGGAGAAACTTTATCCCGCTTACCGGGTAAAGTTTTCGGCTGTGACGTGGCACTGAACATCAATTGAATTGAAAAGTTGCTGACACGACAGAAAGTTATCCCGCTAAGCGGGAAAGTTGTGTTCATATGGGAAAAACAGTGATTATCCCGGTCACCGAGATCTCGCCTGTCAACAAGCGAGATCTCGGTACACGGGAAAACTTTTTGTCTCATATGACCGCAGTGTAACTTTTCATATTATTTTCATACCAAGGCGAGATCTCGCTTGTAAACTTGTCGAAAAGTTTTCTCGCTAACCGGGATAACTCTTGCCCATATGAACAGGCCCTTAGTTGGCCTAGACTATTTTTTTCTTTACAATTACCGGGGATAATTACATTACATTATTATTAAGCTCACTCCCCATTTGGGGCAATTTCGGTGACCGCGGTTGCGTCAAGTTTATACGCTCGCGTTACGTACTTAGCCTACACTATTTATCTTTATAACCGATTGAGATCTTACTTTGCTAACTGTGTTTATCCTAACCCACCCTGTCAACTTTCCCTGTGGGAGGAAACCGGTGCACCCGGAGAAAACCCACGACTTTCGGCAGAGCGTTGGCTGACTCTTTTCACATCCCCCGTGAACAACGCTTATGTAATCTCTGTGATACAAACGAAATTGAAGATGAATATCACTTTGCACTATCTTGTAACCACTACAGAGAAGACAGAAACACCACAAACAATATATTACAAAGACAATGCAACGAAACACTCGACTACCAAAAAAAAGATAACCTCGTGAATATATTAATAAAATCTAATGATCCGAAAGTACTGAATGTTTTTTCAAAATATATTACAGTTAGTTTTGAAAAACGGAATCAGTACTTTGAAGCCAGAAATACAAATAATACCTATAAAACAAATTGTATAAAAAAAAAAAAAATAATAAATCCTTAACCGATATAGACACTACATATTAAATTAAAACCCTGAAATAGTAATATATCTTGTAATCTTAAATATTCTCATAGTGATCACCAATATGTAAATAATATAAAGTTAAAAAATATGTTATTATTAGTTAGTTATGAACGTTAATAGTTATATTGATGGAACTACAGTACTTTAGCAATATCTTGTAATTATAGATCATGCTAATAAAGTCATTACAATTTGAATTTGACATGAGTCCGTAGTGAAAAAAAATGATGCTGTAAGCAAAAGCTAACTTATATCAGGACTTGCACCAGCAATTCAATCAAAATTATTTACAAACGCATCAAAATTGACTACAAACTTAGTTATGTTTAAAACTACACAAAGATTATCGCCCATATTCTAAAAGCTCACTCACACTCGATGAGTGGAAGTTCAATCTGAGCTTCTCTCGAGTGTCAATGCTGATTTTGAATAGCTGGAGGGTGAGTGTCGTACCTTTCTATGTGACTACTAGCCCTCCAGCTATTCAAAAACAGCATTGACACTCAAGAAAAGCTCAGATTGAACCTCCACTCATTGAGTGTGATTGTGAGTGAGCTTTTAGAATACAGGCGTATATATATATATAGTCTTATAGAATATCATTTACAAGTTATTGCTGCAAAACATGACTTTCTGGGAAAAATGTTCTGATTTGCACTACTCAACTTTTGCCGGCTAAAACTGTCCCATGGTCGCGACCTGCTCATAACTTGAGTTTCAGTTATATAATAGCTAGCTATGAGATCAGGTCTGCTGACGTTCATCGGGCTCTTGAATGAGAAAATTTAGATTCCAGACGAGGTATGAGTAAGGCAACATTATTATATAGAATTCCGAACGATTGTAGTGCACCAAATTTGAAAGAATTATTGATGAGGAGGAATTCTCTACAAACTAATTATAACCTTGGAAATTCTCACACTGATGTGGCCCTTCCAGTAAACCGAGACGCGAATTTCTTAAAAAAAGCTTTAAGTACAGTGGTGCTAAACCGTTGGAATAATCTTCTGCGCGAAGCTAAGGAAGGAAAGCGCAATCAATTTACTCTTCAAAAACTTTGTAAAACAATTTTATTTTTAGATAGAATCATTTATAGATCTAAATATAGGACCGGGTCACACCAATTTAATTTAATTTAATTTCCTTTTAGAAATCTCTTGTAAATAGCTATATGTTTATATTTTTCTTTCTTTGTAAATATCTTTTTCATGTGCTAGTGATGCCGCTTGTGGGAATCAACTATTGCTGTTGACAGGGCTGGCGTCATTAAATAAAGTTATACATACATACATACTGTGTAAGTCAATCATACACCGCTCGAAACGCGTCAAAGTAGTCTCTTTGTTATGTTTAACGTTGTGTATAGTCAGAGCATAATGTGTACGCTAGCTGAAGCAGGGTTGAAATGTCAACCCCGGGGTTGAACTCGGCCCTGGGTTGAAAATTTTGTCATGTAATTATCGCGCGTTTGATTTTGATAGAGTCTGTTGTATTACAGACAGGGTTGAAATTTCAACCCGGTCAACAGGGCTGAGTTCAACCCCGGTGTTGAATATGCTCCATGCCATCGTCCCCTAAAACTGTCCCATGCGCCCTGCTATGACTTGAGTGTATACTGTGTAAATCAATCGGTCACAGACGCTCGAAACGCGGCCTTGCCGCCTTGCTGTGTATTAGTCAAGAGCATAATGTGTAATAAATTAATTAAATAATATAGAACAAGACAGAGGCGTGCTTGGCAAACATTCAACATATAGATTATGAATTGAAACTTTATTTTTTCCTCTGTTCAAAATGTAAACTTCCTCGCGCTAATGATGGGAAATAGTGCTCGAAGCGCCGGAACCAGGTGTAACTTTATCTTAACTAATGAGCAAACAGAAGCACGACGTCGCCTCCGAGATATTTTGTTTAACCCAAAAATCATGAATGTCTGACAATGAGAGCTTGTTTTGAAGAAATGATAAGGTCTGTGTGCTTTGGCAAACGATCGTTACTGTTAATAAGGCACTTTATTCTAATTAGACTAAACTATATAATGAGCATTAAAAAATTTAATTTTCGGTCATCGATAGAAGTATCGCTATATATACAGGGTGTCCAATAAAAAACCCCCCAAACTATTGAAATAACGTATTGTTAGAATTTGAATGCCTCAGCACTCTGTCCATATAGTGCATAAAAGCTTGACATAGGTAGAACGAAACTGTTTAATTAAAAGAATGTTTGTAAGAGAAATTTATGTAAAGCCCGGCGCACACTGGATAGCAGCTGAGCTGAGCGTCACTCGTGACTGTTGGCGTAAGCACGTTCCCACATTGTGCGGTGGCGTTTGAGCGATTTCAGCCACGCGTGCCATCGTCACCGAACTGATTCAACATGTTGAATAATTTCAGTCACGAATGAACATTTCCTCTAATTTCGCATGCCTATTCGATCTACAATGAAAGGTGATAGCTTTTCGAGCGCGCAGGAAATGTTCATTCGTGACTGAAATTATTCAACCCGATGTTGAATATTCGTTGCCGATGGCACGCGTGGCTGAAATCGCTCAAAACGCCACCGCACACTGGGGGAACTTGCTCATGCCAACAGTCACGAGTGACGCTCAGCTCAGCTGCTAGCTCCAGTGTGCGCCGCGCTTAAGGGTTAGTTAAAAAAAACTAAGGGGCCCCCGACAGTTAGGGGCCCCCATCAGCCACGGCCTATCGCCCAGAAAATTAGAAAACGTAAAAAAGAGACTATTATTGTTATTGTTATAGACGTGGAATTTTCCAGAACATTCTATAAATACTCAATACAACTATAATATCTCAGTCAAACAATAACAACAGTCAACAGGGGCCCCCACACCAAATATGCTTAGGGACCCCCCCTCCCCTCCCGCCATTACGCCACTGCCCACTGAGTGAGTTAAACCATTTTCTCCTGAACTGATAATATGACTAATTTGTAATTTTATCATAATCTTATCAAGTTATTCTCTTTTGGTATTTAAAAAGCTGCTTTAAATTCCCAAGAGCAGAAAATCGTGCGCTTTACCGAAAGATATTTTAATTTCTTAATAAGTCAATATTTAATATATGCACCCTGTCAATATTTTACGCATCTTTGCGCTAAGCTTAGTGCTAGGGCCGTTCAAATTCTAACAATACTTTATTGCAATAGTTTTGGGGTTTTTTGGGACACCCTGTTTTGTTGCACGTCCGTTCATAACTGGTTTCCATATGTGATATGGTCTTAATGATAGTATATATAGCTTAATCTTCTACTGAAGATGGCATAATTTACCATTATTATAAAACTTTTTTTCATATATTCATGCACAAAAGTTGTCATAAGCAGCACGATCATTTAGATAGGATTTACTAGTTTTGAATCTCATTTTCTTCTCCCTAACTCCTAAGATTCTGCTTGAATCCTCAGTGTTCGGCAATTTGACTTTACTTCAAATGTTGTTGGAATTTTGTAACCAGTTCTAAAAGTCGTAAGGCGGTCGTAAAGATTGAGTCATGTCACAATCTTTCTCATCAGCCGAAATACAACCGCATTTTAGAATTTACAAGTATAAACTATTATAAACTGGCCGTTGAGAAAGATCGTGACTTTAATTTTACGATATTGAAAATAAATCAAATCTTGTTTTAAAAATCCTATCTGTTTTGAAAACCTTTGAGTCTCAGTTTAATCTGAGGTCAGGTATACAGTCTGCGCAAAAGACGCCTGCTTCAATTTTTTGAGTCTTTGGGAAATACCATGCAAATACGAATTAACGTTCGTAGCTCAGGAACAGTCATGTTTTGTCTTCAGCCCCGTTTAGGCCAAGCTTTGTGCCAACTTTCCACGCATGCAAATACGACATTTCTCATTTTGTACAATCTACATTTTTGCGCCGCAAGGGAAGGCGTGTGTTTAATATATGGATCCGGCAACTTGTTTTTGGTCGAACAAAAGACCTTTTTATGTATCACATCCGAAACATAATAATCGCAAAACAAACTCCTTTAACTCATACGGATATTTTGCCAGATAAGAACATGATATATTACTGTTTTAAGTTGTTTAGAAATTACGCAAAAATAAACTCGCCAGTTTTCTGCATCAAGCACGTAGTAAATCGTATAACAACAGAGTTATTTAACTCTATATGTGAGGCGCTTAAGCTATTTACATCTGTAGAAAAAGGCTGGACGACAAATTGTATAAAAACCGGCATGGGCAGTGTGGGCAGACCTCCTGCGCGCAAATGCGAATACTCTAAACAGAAATTATCCAATTTCATAACAATTAAAACATGAGTACATTTAATATGCTCGTTAGGCTTCACACCTCAGATAAATGAAAAAGTCACGAATACACGCGATGGCAGATGCTATAGTCGTTAAACAATTATTAAAGCATTCACTTTTGTAACCTTAAAAATAAATTTTATATGTATTTCACTTGGCACGCTCTTCATTTTTAGCCTAAATTTGTCAGAAAATAAGAATATATATATATGAATATATCTAGCAAAGGGTGTGCAGCGCGCGTCGTGTCAAATTTATATGCAGCGTAAAGTACAGCATGACTTACTTGAAGTTTGTAAATTTCAAGCATCAAGGAGTTGACTGTCACTCGTTGAAACTTACAGTGTGTAGAATGGCCAATCATGGCCATACTCTCATGCAAGATCTTATACTAGAGTAAAAGTTAAATGATTATTGTCTGTAGTTACACGGCTATTCGTTCCTGTTTACTCGGACTTGGTCTTAGCGCACAAAAGACTTGGCGAAAGAAACGGAAGGCTTTAATAGTGGGCTTTTAGGACATTGGGCAAGGCATTGAATAAAGCGGAATAATTGGGGTATCATTCATGAGTCTACTATTCTATGTTCGAGAAAGCTTTGACAAATTCTCTGACGCCAAAAAAGTTGACTTTTGCAAATTACAGCTAATAATGCCGGTACTGATAAAATTTAATGTACAATTATACAATTGTCATAAAATTGTTCTTTTCGTTTTAAAAGAAATTTTGTGCTCAGGAGATAGGATGGATATATTTTTTCTAACAAATTTAGACTTAAGACATGTATACATTCCTAGATTACAAAGACAATGTATAGTGCAAGTGATTTTGGTAGTTTCTTGCATTAGACTTTAGAGGGATGTTCGAGTGCCTTATACCTTGTAAATTACAGTTTTGACATTGCCGTAGGCTATAAACTTCATTGCGATATTTATATACTTGATTCTTCATAATTCCATGTAAATATTTTCCATACACACAGCAAAAATATGCCTGGCTTTGGTTATTCTTACAGTCCGAGACTCTTATAAAATGAAAAAGACTGTCATCTTCTTCTGTATAGATTATGCATTTATATCCACAGGGTTTTATACACCATCAATTCAGTCGAAGAAGACGCAAAATTTCCAAGATTTTGCACACATGCAACATGAGTTGCGACGTATAATTTTATAATATTGGAGTATATTATATAAATATACCTTGTGAAAAGTTCAAACATCTACAAGTCGGTTAATGTATCATAGAAACGCAATGCGTTACTCTATACTTTGGAAGACAAGAGTTTCGATGCTCAGATTAAACCTATATACATGTTAAAACGAAGAGAAACTTAAACTAAACTAACTTTATTTACACTACTCACTAGCTGGATAGGAAGAATCAGTTTCAGAGTCAGAGATCAAGAAAGGGTCATTCTCGGGGAAAACCGCGGTGACGACCTACGCTGCCTCCCTAGTTGGTAAATTAAAACTCTCAAACTGGAGTCTGGAGGCTCTTCTCACATGTAAACGACGGGGCAGAGGCATAATTATATTGAGCCTCATCGAATCTTGATTCGTATTATTAGTATCATGAAATATATCGGGTTAAATATTGTAAGGCAAGTTGCGTAATGCGTTATTATACCGAAGGAAGCTTGATATATAGCTATGTCTCTGGGCTCTTCAACTGCTCGAATTCAAGGCTTCAGCGAAACTGCGGCATTTCAGTGCAAACAGTTCTAAATGTTCTTTTATAATACAACAAGAATACTTATTTATTTATAAACTGGTTAACTCTATCAGTTCTAAACTGTTTCCAAAACTAAAGACCCAGGAACGGTTGTCAGTGCTTCATTGATCCAGTATTTCGCAATTTATACAGTAATAGAATGCGCAATAACTTGTAGTATTGGCTATCCACATGCAAAGTGCGTTACTCACCTTGGTATACAAGAGATTCGTCCAATCTCGAAGGAGATGCTATGGTTCCAAGACCCAAATTTAATGGCGCTTTTGCACACGGAGAATACTCCATCGTCGCTGCATGGCCGCGAGGAATGCGACTAGAGAACATGGGCTGATTTTGAAAATAACACGATTGACGTTGCGACATTAGAAGGTCGTACTGGAATGGACGATTTGATGGAGTCGGGGAGATAAACGCCGCTTGATGCACGGTTGAGCTAGGTGACCAACAATACATTATGTCTCTTGATAGCTGTATGGTGGGAATGTTGTCTATTTGTACGACTGTCCTGTCATGTGCCGATGTCGACGGCTTGAAGCGCTTTCAATGTTGATATGACACGAGGAAGTTTTAATAGATGCTGGTGAACAGATTGTCTACTTAGCCATTCCCCTTGATTGACGTGTGGGCGATGCAATGTTTAATGAGTCCAAACGGAGTTTATTAATGCTAAAACAAAGACTATGAAAGCTTTTATACTCACGCCATCATCGTGCATGAGATATGACACACATTAATAAATACTCCGCCCATTTCTACTCGAAAACAAAAACGCACATTACGACCTTAAACATCTAATCAAAATTAAGTCTCCTCCAAAAATGTTTCAGAACCTGAAACAATCAATATAATCCGACCTTCATACTGCAAAAACTGCCTTGAGATTTTCTTACTAGTTTAACAATTCAATATTAAAGCTATATGTGACAGCTGTGCCCTAGCTTGTATTAACCTTTTAAAACTGACTTATTACGTGTAGATTAATCGTTAATGCTTTTATATAATCACTTACAATCGAGTGGCAATGCTATGGAAAGTTACGCTTTGTGCAATGACATAGGCTGTGTAAAGCCTGGTTTAAACTATCAAAGTTTCTATAGGAATTTTGCATCCTTTGAAGGATTTTTAAGAAATGTTCGAGGGGACTGTTCAGTGTTAATACATTTCTTACAAATCCTTCAAAACTTAGAATGTATATGGGGCAATGCAAAATTCCTACTGTGATCACAGAAACTTTGATAGTGTATCAACCGGCATCAACTATTTCGCTGACCTCAGAATGACATTTCGTCAAAACCTTTTTCTTCAAGATTGGTTTAGAAACAAATTTGGAGTAGGGTTAGGTTAGGGTAAGGGTAAGGATTAGGGTTAAGGTTAGAGTTGGTGTTTGGAGTAAGGTTAGTGTTAGTAAAACCGTTGCTTTGTTACGTTTTGTCACTCTGAGGCCAGCGAAATAATCTCTTCCGTATCAACCAGGCTCAAACCTCTTCGTATGCACAAAGTCTTGATCACAACACTTGTTAAATTATACTGCGGTGTGTAAACCAAGCCTTTTGGAGTTCATATATGCTCTTCTGATAGTATTATGGCATATTTATACACATTCAATACAAACACAAGTTGTAGACTAACTGCGCATTTGCGCATAGTTCAACTTTAACGAATGCCAACACTGGTATAAATCTGGAACGTTTATCAAAGTTTTGGAACATGCCAAAATATGTGAATCACGACAAACTAATATAGAACGTACAGCAGTCACGAATTATAAGCATTATCTCATGTTTTGCGCTCCTAAAAATTTTGCCCAAAAATTCCGCTTCTTGCGCGTGGGCGAAACAGATAAGAATTGGCCAGAAATAGAAGGGAATTGAGACGGCTCACAAAAACTCTTAAGTTATTTTATCTTTTAAAGGACTTGGGCGATAAGACAATTTGTGTCAGGTGTTAATTTGTTTTTGGGTGTAAAACGTGAAAAGGCGTGTTTTATTTCCTGAGTCTTAAGAGCAAGAAACGATATATCATTCGGCTTTGGTCGTGAGTCAATCTTTTTTCTGTATTCGCAAAAGGCCGATTCAGGCTGCACAAAAAAGTGGTGCCTAAAATTGTCGCGTGCAACATGCTTACAACTTGAGTAGTATACTGTGTAAATCAAGCATACAACTTGTCTGCGTTGTCGCAAGTGAGTTGTGTGTTTGATTTACACAGTACAACTCAAGTTATAAGCAGGTTGCATGCGACAATTTTAGGCGAATGTTGTGTTGTGTAAATCGGCCGAAATGCGATTGCGATATTTTCATTGATATACTTTCTCATTAATGTCTTAATGAGATTGAGAAGAAATATATTTTGTTGTTGCTTTAAAGAAACCGCGGTCATAGCACGTAGCATGAAAACATATAGTGTACTGCAAGGAACAATCACAGAATACAGTACAAGCTGTATAAATCCTAATTTAGAAGCATATTACACTGGAAATTGTTTTCCATTTTTTCCTTTACTATGGAAATACTAGTACGGATCAGCGGTGACAATAGTATGGGAATCCAATTTTCATACACTAATTGCAATTTCCAAACTGTAGTATAGTATGGAAATACTAGTATGGATATACTATGGATTTAGTCGGATGCGATCGCAAATTGCATTGTATGAATTTCACTATTTTTTTGTTCAGTGTTGCCCAAATTACTTGACCATCACTCAACCACAAAACCCCACGTGGAAACCGCGTTACGTGGCTAAAACGTGGCCTGGCCATGGTCTTTTCAGTTTCAAACAGTCTGTTATCGGATAATTGAATTCCAAGCTTAAAATCATTTTATAGCAATCAAGCTAATCGACACCTTTTTAACAGCAGATAAAATTGAGGTTAACCGTGGGTTAATGTGCGACCCGGCAGTGCGATAATGCGTGATGTCTTTCCACGCGAGTGTAAATATTCTGATAATGTTCGTCTAGATGAATACTTCCATATCGTTTAGTGTTTTCCAGTCTGATTGGAAGCAGTAATCGCTTTACAATTGTGGACTGTTTCTGCCACGGTCGGTTAGAGAATATATCCCTCAGCTCACTTTTGTGGCCGGAGAATTCCGATTATATCGTCATGTTTCACGCACAATGCTAGAAATGCTTTATTGCTATCGATCGCAAAGTGAACAGTTTTGCATGTTCCAAAACTCCATCATCACCGGCCACTTGTTAATTCGTGGAAAATGGCGTCGTCGCCACTAAGGGATATGGAAAGGACTGGCCATGAAATAAAGTGACATTCATAGTTTTACTATATGCTTCATGGACTTAACATTCATTTTCAAAGACTTTGCATTCATAGTTTTAATCCCCGACCACCCTGAAGCGTTGTGACTAACCCAGGAAATCGCGCATCTCCACCCCCTATCATCAACTCAATTAATTGAAATCCGATCTGTAATCGCTTTCACACATAGGTGGTCTGTTTTGCTTGTTTGCCATTAGCTGTAATAATGAGTTTAAAGAATGTGCTCCAATCTTCCACCCTTAGCAACGTCCCTGCAAAGATCTTATCACTTGTGCGCTCATCAGACAAGTGCTCTCACGAAACGGAAAGTTTTTAAGTGGAGTTTAGATTGCCTAAGTGCGTCCCGCGTTTGAAAGGCTTTCGATGTGGACAGCTATGCAGTCAAACATGACTTAATGGCCTTCGTAATTGACTGTATTATAAATGAAATGCAATGTTATTCTTAGATCTATCAATTAAGAGCATGGGTGCGTCAAAGTTTACATGCCGGACAACGGGACAAGGTCGAACTGTCTTGCGCTTTCCGTCAGTAAAATTTACTTGATATTTACGTTTCATCAGTAAACTACCTGAAGCGATGTCACTACTTTGATTCATTAGAAAATGCGTCCAAATTCACATTCTGTGCGCTTTTATATATAAATTAAACCTTTTCCCTTTGGCTTTGGTTTAGTTAATGCAAAGTTTCTCGTTATACAAAGCAAAGCAAACAGTTTGACGCAAAAACTCAAATATTGAACAACATTCAATGAAACTTCCTTGTGAATCTGGAATGGAAGTTTGAATTTTTCGATCCACGGCCAATGCACAGTATTGTAGCGGTGGAATTTCAATATTTTATAATTGGAGATACATGTCATGAAAATGTTTTTATTTCAACGCCAACGCTGCATTAATTGCGACATAAAAATACTATTCAAATTGTGTGTTAATGTTTGTGGCAATTATTCATAAATCGTTCTACAGAGCATCAGTTCAACAACATCAAACAGTTAGCATGTTTTAAATCGCGTCATCATAAGTCTTTAAACTGATATTTACTGCATCACTCGATTACTTTGATAAAACCAGATGCCAACCGATTTATCAGATGACTCTTTTTGATTTGAGGTTAAACAGTACCTTCGGCATTGGGATAGAAAGACACATAATTGTTTATGTAAAACTTGGACTCATTGTCCATTGAGGACATGCATGGTCATGGGTCATACAAGTTTTTTGAAATGGGAATTAATAACGTATATTTTTAGCAAGCCTACGCTATTATTTGTGTTGAAAGCTGCTGGTGAAACTTTTAAGCCCCATTAAACGCTATCTCGCGATTTGATGACAAAAGATGGCTTTCGAAATGACATGTTAGGATATATGATTTTTACAGATGTGTGTGCTGAACGGCTAATGGCTTCTACAGGAAAACAAACTCGCCACCTTTAGATTAAGCCATTTATTTAAAATAACGTTGCTTCATTGAAGTACTTTCATCAGCCATAATTGCAACTTTTCAACAATTCTAATTATAGTGAATGGGTGTTTGTATCACGTTCTATTTTTCCTGTCAGCATTGAAATATATCTTGAAATATTAGCGATCGATCTTGAAATAATCAGCATGAATAATGTATTTAATAGCCTTATTTATTTTTATTATTGTTTGAAAAACTTTAAATATATTATAGTCTAATGTAGTTATATCTGTATATATTTTACAACGGCGGAAAGAACAATTAAAAGACATCACAAAATATTTTTGAAAACATATGTTCTTTGAGTTGTGGTTTATATGCAAGTCAAAACACAAAAACGTGGGATGCACATTAGTTCCATTATAAAAAGCAAAAACTTCAAAATATTGCCATTGGCCATCGCTTTATTTTTCTTCATCGATTATCAGGCCATTAAATTCAACGCAATGATTAATTGTTCATTAATTGATCAAAGCCTACCTTATATTAATAATAGATCAGCTTTCTACGAGCAGGAAATGGGTTAAACACCAGCCATTTAATACAAGTAGCAAAAATCGAATTTTAAATGCCGCCTGTGCCTTGTATCCTATAGTAGTGGGGTAGTTCTTGCGGCCAACGCAAGATTTTTCCAAATCGAAAGTTTTTTCCCAAAGTTCTGACCCTCTGGCTCGGACATCTGGTCTCCAAATGGTTTGTAAATCTTTGTTAAAATAATACCTGTGTTTGGCTTGATATTGTGAGTTTTGTTTATCGCCTTAAAACACGATTTTTATTGAGTAAACTTTGGACAAAGGCTGACAATTAAGTGGGCAAAGAGCTGTAACGTGTATTTATAGCAAAGTTGCATAAATTTTTGGTCTGTTATAACAGTGCATGTAAATCATTCATTTATTAAAATGAAATACTGCAAATACAACAACTTCAATAACTAAACAACTAACATGTATTATATAGAGAATAATACATGGGTGCGCGGAATACCAGATTTATACGAGAAATAAATCTGGTATTCCCAAGCACCCATGTATTTTCTGTTTATAAAGGACAGTCTTTGAAAAGCGATAATTTTTACAGAAAAGCGATAATTGAAAAGCGATAATTTTCACATGTGAAATTATCATAAATAATCTCACATGTGAAATTATCAGTGTTATCAGTGCACATAATGTCTATAAAGCACTATACTTTATTAAATAAATTATAATTATGAATGTTATTATTAAATCATGTTTGGTGCACGTTAATTGAATCGGATAATTAAATCCTTTTTAAATGAACTTGATAATGAAACAAATATATAATTTTATATAAAAATAATAACATCTGGCTTGAGATTCACAAGAAATTTAATTTCCAAATGAAAACAGCCATTTGTGATTTGGTTTCTAATATATATAACTGTTCAGAAATCTCACTGGACATAAACATTGTTAAATCTGTTCATTTTGCCTTTCCGATGGACTACAATGCCTATATCAACAAACAGTCAGAAAAGATTGCAACTTTGCATATTTTTAAGGGAGTTGAATTTCACGTCAGTTTAAACTATGATTATATGTATTTATCGTTGACAATATGATCACAAATTCATTATTTGCAACTAGCTAACTGTATCAAATCATTAATTAGAACAAATTCCTAGTATGGTAACTTCGTAACAAAATATCGTGTGAACGAAGTTATATTTAAACAGCTATTTAACAAGTGTTAGAGTGTCCTACGTGCAAGTGGTTTTGAGAGAGCTTACTTTGTTGTTTCCGTGGCACCTAGCTAAACTGACTGCATTTAAATTTTAAAACAGGCTAACACGCACAATTCATGCGATTGTCACATGCCAACTGGAAACGTAAACTTCGACAGGGCCGGCAGCTTCTCACGCCACTTGAAAAGCAAAAATGTTTCTCTAAACAGTTATAAACACAACACTCAATAGCCCATTCATTCAAAATTAATTCCCGATTGTATTGTCCCAAACTGGATCGAATCGAACCCAATCACCATTATATTTCAGAACCACCATGTCCATTGCGGTATTTTCCTACGAATCCTACTTCAATCTGAGTCAGAGCTCAGAAGTGTCAGAGGATCAGACTAAAGAAAATAATACTCTGAACCGCTGTCCTATTGAAACTTGTGTAGACTTCTCCATTTGATAAATGTTCAAGGATTTTATGCGCTCGAAATTATCATGTACAAACTACAAAGCTTCAACATCAGTCTATATTTCTATCGAATGAGATACCCCAAAATTCTGATCAATTCTCTTTTTCGGATACCCTACATTTTCAGAATTTCAGGCACAATTATACGGATACATTTCATATAGACTAAGACCGTTCGACTTTATGTCCACAATGCTCTGTTTGCCAAAATACTTTGAAAATACGGGCAAAGGCATGGCTAAGTACTACAACACCATTTGAACAGTTCAGCCTTTTTGGTTGTATTTTTAGTTTCACGCGTATGGCCGAGATGAAAGTTAGGACGAGAGACATGAGGTCTGCCCAGAAGTGCAAATCAAATATAATAGACTGAAATTGATTATTGAAACGAGATGGAAATAGCATACTGTTTGGCCGAATTTACATCAATTGTCAATGCTCCACATTCTATTCGTGTTTGTAGTTGTCACTCAGTTTACCTGAATGGCCATTAGTGAATAACATGCTTCGAACATCCCTAAGTCAACGTGTTAATCCTGCTTGCATTTCTCTGCTTGCCCAAGCTTTTGTTCCCTGCCCTCTTTCATAATTCAATTAACGTATGATTTATAGGCCAGCATACTAAGCCCACAACTCGTGAAAACTCGTTAATCCATGTCAATTTACAGTGTTTTGTTGAGCTTAGTGGATCATGCTTGCCTCTAAGAACTTAATCACTTTGTAAGCTCAGTGTAAATCGTGTTCAGTCGGTCAACATTGGACAACAATCAAAAGTTAGTCTGAGGCACGTTAAGGTATTTCTGGCACGCCCAAACACATTTAACGACTTGTCTATATGCTTTTAAGGTTTTGGCAATAACGTTAGGGCTGGTGGTTTGGCACAATACATCAAGATTTGCCTGTTGCAGAGAGTTGCCCACAAATTATTGGGGGGCGCTGAGGCCCTCCCCCCAGCCCTCCGGTGTCTACAACCCTGAATCTTTCATTCTAGATCCCAAGGAACATTTTCCTTGTATATTGAGGATCATTTTTTCACATACATTATGGGCGAATCTTTTAAGGAAACTACATCTACTTCGTCATTTGAGATTGTGAAGTGTTATTCGATGTTTAAATTTGGCGTAATGTTAATCAAATTTTCCATTGTTTTTCAAAAGGCAAATTCAGTTCCATAAGCATGGAACATCAGACACTTTTTCACGTCCGTTTTCATCATTCCTTATGCCATGGCTACAATAAATAATCTACAATTCTTTTATTGTTTAAGACGTTTAACTTTGAATAAGTTCATTATGTCTTCATTGCAATTTTATCACTAAGGCATATCTGTCATTTTATATCACTTATCAGTTTTAGCTTTCATTACTAGACGCTTTTGGCTTTTATTTTAATAATTTCTATATTTTTATCTTTTCGCCCCGTCGAAAGTCAAACCAGTGCCAAAAACTCTTCGCCTGTCTGTCTCTGAGCGATCTTTAATACGCGCTTCCTATCAAAATGCGGTTCTCTGGGTTTTTTTTATGGCAAACCCTCGCAAACAATAGGTTTAATTTTGTTAAAAATACAATCGATGTCGAAACGCGATAAGGCAAGGCGACACGTGCCGGTTGCAATTATTTCATTAATGGGCAATTCCTTTTTATTCATCTTTAATTATTTTCGATTGTGGTTTTTAAACAGTTTGAAAGGGGCACTTAAGTTACATTAATTGTCTTAAAATAACAACAAGACTGAGTTTTGTGTTGTCTCCATTCGAGTGCCATTTGCGTGGACATTATAGTGTGATGGGCAAAAACAAAAAGAGATAATGTGCTGTTGTTAACCGCTAATATTCTTGCCTCTCGATTTTGTGTACTGAAGAACGTCTACATGTCTGCTGTTATCGATAGCAAAAATTCTAACAAAGACAGCTGTTTGGTCCTCGCAATATGACCGATAAATTGACAATAAAATTATTTTTGAAAATGTTTGAAAAATTAACAATGAAACTGTAATAATCTTCCAAACATCGACCACCTACGTTGGAACGTTTGTAAAAAATACTGTGTGAACAAGGATGAACTTTATACTAGGTATAATTATAGTTCTTTTACTCAAAACTGTTCCGTGTTACATACAGTTGTACTATACTACTCACAGACGAAAGCCTGAACGAAACTGAATTTTATTGATACTGAAGAGTTTTGAACGGTTTTTGCCCGTGCAGGTTCTAGTGGGACCAGGGGGACTCTCAGGAAGTGGTGGTGGTAGGGGGGGGGGGGCAAGGCGTGGGGGTACTTGAAGGAGGATGGAGGATGCAACACTGGATAAACACGGAAAGTTCTAGTATTTATTCTTGGTTCTAAAGTAGCAATTGTTAATTAACGAAAGGATTTAACTCTCCCTGAGCCCCTCTTCTATACCCCTGCCAGTATTAAAAGGACCATTTCAAGGTTCATTTTTTACACGGAGGAAACTGGAATACCTGAAAAAACCTGCGACATTTAGTAGACCAAGGAGGTACTCGTGTTACTCAGCAACCGGAAATTAGAATCAGACAAGTGTTTATATCGTACGAATCGAATCCAACACATTTCAGTGCAAAGGGGAGACCTGGAGCAGGTCTACCAACAATTCACGCTCTGGGGCATTCCCTCTAAGGGTACAGTGCCCCAGTAGATACGAACCCCCCTCGCCTCTCAATCATCGTAACGGTCCAGTTACGCATAGAGTTCAGCTAAACGAAGAATAGTTTCCCACAATGCATTGAATTCCAAATTCCAATATGGCTTCCGGGCAGGGTTTAAAGTGAAATATTCGATTTGTTTGAGGATTTGTTCGACAAAATATGGGGCACGGGAACAGCAAAGCGTATACAGAAGCGATCAAGAAGCTTAGTTCTCTAGAGCTGAACAATATTGTGGCGGTTTTCAATGAATTATCGACAGAAAACCAAGACGGAACGAGAGCTATCCCTGAACCCAATATGGCTACAAGGCGTGTGTTTGCAGAGAGATTTTCATTGCCTGGTTTGATAGGAGAGAGGTTGTTTCATGCATTTGACAGAGACAGCAATGGTACTATTAATCTGGAGGAATTCGTTGGTGGTGTAGCACTGTGTCTACATGGCTCTGCTCAGGCAAAATGTGAACTTCTTTTTAAGGTGAATTTTAATCAAACCAAAGCGACTAGATAGCTGGCTGCTGTAGTAAAACTGCCGGATGCTGGCTATTTAGTAAAATTGTTTTTTAAAAAAGATTATGTGCAATAGCACTTAGTGAGTCTACTGATAGTGTAGACCCGTGTAGTGGTTACAACATGTCCGGGGGGGGGGTAAATAGGGGTATACAAATCCACTGATCCGCCCAAATTTGAAGCAAAATCCACGATCCGACAATGGTCTTGTCTAAATTTAAATCCACTAAAAGCTCTACTATGAAGTCACAATCCAGGATCCGAGCTAAATTGCAAGCTAAATCCACAATCCAAGCCAAAATAATAGATAAATCTGCAGTCCACTGTATTAATAAGATCCATGTAAAATATTCGCCAGATCTGAAATCCGAACAATTTTTTCTGTGAAATCCAACGATCTGAAAACCTATAATTCACCCCCCCCCCCCATGTGCCTATGTAATGAGCTCAAAGATTGCATCATAACAGAAAACATCCACACCTCCCCACTGACTGAAAAGTTTTGAAAATGCATGCCTGAGATTTAAGAAAAATTAATAGTTAATGTATCAAAGGTATAAAAATTGCATGCCTGATATCTCGGTTGTGCGATACAAACTTTCCACACTAGCCTTCCCCTCATCAGATATCCTTGTACATTTTACTATTATTAGGAGCAAATTCTCAGACTCCCTCCCCTCCCAGATGGCAGAAATTCCCTCCGTAAAGGCCTAATTCCACGACGAGCGAAATGCAAAAAATTGTGCACGAAAAGGTTGAATGCATGCTCAACATGATTTTGGAATGTTTCTCTGCGAAATATTTCTCTTCGCCGGGTAATTGAATTTGTTTCTACTCTGTTGCAAAATGGAAATAGCGAAGCCAAGGGGCAGTGCCGTGGACTAGTGAAAGATATATCTCCAAGTTTACACACTATTGTCGATACAATCTTTGGATCAATGTAGAATGATATTGAACAACAAAGGTGGAAGAAATAGGCGAGCATGCGAGCACTGCTTGCAGGAAATGTTAAACAGCTGCAGGAAATTCATTTAAAAATGAAGATTTGCTGTTGAAAATTTGAAGGAAACCTTAACACCCATGTCCCACTATGGGCGCAACAACATATGATTGACAGACAGACATTCCTTGAATTTAAAACCATGGTCAGCTAGAACACTATATGTTTATGCACATATTTAGCACAAAAATGCATGGTTGGTCTGCAGGAAATTTTTGTCTCCAGGTTGTGCTCCCGGGAAGAAAATTCTTTTTTCCTGCCCTGTTGAAGAAGAAAGAGTGTAAATTATCCTCCATAGGTGTTTCTATGTGGCTTTAGGCCAAAAAAAAAAATGTGGGTTTCCGGTTTCTTCTTATAAAAACGTAGGTAGGGTAGGTCGGTTATAACTTTTTTTTTTAACTTTTTTTTTAATTTTCCGAACAAGCGGACGCCATTAGTCAGTGCTTCCACATCCAAAGATAAATTTCCCTAATATTGCCTCAAATTTCAATTTTCCACAAACTTTTTCCTCTAAGTGGAAAGAAACACTTACAAGCACGATCCAATAAAAAAGTTTAGGGTCGGGATTTCGACGTCCAAAAGCTAGGTAGGGTCGGGAAACCGGAAACCCACATATTTTTTTTTTTGGCCTTATCAATATTCAATAATCTTTTCCTTTAAGGTGTTCAACTTCAGTGATGATCAAGATGCAGTCACAGAAGATGAACTAAAAACCATTTTACTCAGTTTTCTACAATCAGCCAACACCATCTTAGACAGCGTAGGGGACTCTGACTCTAAAGAAACTAATAGCAGCGAAAAACCTTTAATTGAAACCGTCTCAGAAATAGTCCAAGATGCCTTTAAGACGTGCGATAAATCGAAGAACGGCAAGTTGTCGGCCAAGGAATTCAGTGCATGGCTTCATAAAAATCCTCAGATCATGGATAATGTGTTTGGCTGGCAATGCCCAAAACCAGAGCTCGGCCAATGGGCTAACGAAACTGAACAGCAAGGCGCAAAAAGTTTACAAGACTTGTTTGGTGGTCAGAATATGTCCGGAGACAGCTTTTTCGATTCTTTGGGAAGTGCTGCCGAAAATGCTCCCGAGAGTGAGGGTGATAGGAAATCTGGAAACGTATCGCCAGTACCGATCTCTCCAACCAAAAGCAAAAGCAGTGTGTCCGAAGAGGTCGATCCTGTGATTCAGATCGAGACAACTACAGTACAAGCAAATGTCAAGCCACCATCTTCACCAATTAAAATTGAGCCTCGCTTATCTGAAGTGGAGAATGAAGAACCTTTCATAGAAACTTACGATTACTACAGTGCATTATGGATACCTTCTAAAGAAACCAATTCCTTCCTTGAGGCAATCAGGAACAACATCCTGAAGCCAGAGAATGCAGAACCTGAATTTAGAGTGCCCTGTATTCAATTCGATACACCACAAGTCGATCCGGTTAGCGAACTGATCTCGAAATTTCTCAGTGACCAAGAAGAACCTTCGCGAGCTGCTCTAACCGAAGAGATGGTTGCAAACGATACAGCTGGCTTGAAGCAACTCTTGAGAGTAGAATGTTGGCGGTCAGCTCTTAACCTGACCACAAAACTGTTGGGTACTAACAATACCCAGCAAACAGCCTCCCAGTTGGCACTATCGCCTGGCAACTTGGAGATTTGGTTCTGCCGTATTGCATTGTTGTACCAGCTTAACATGTACAGTGCCGCAGATATCGAGCTTGAGGCATTTGGTAATCTTGACGCGGCTGTGTTGTATTATGATTTCCATCCAGATTTATACCCTGGGAAAGAAGGCTCAATGGTGCCGTTCTGTTTTCGCATCCTGGCTGCGATGTTGCCACAACAAGTAGATAGGCCCAAAGAGGCGTTAGACAAGTTATTCTATGTTCATAGCGCGTGTCTACAAGTATTGCGCAACCTCACGACAAACCTTGGTGGCGGCGATGAGAATGAGGAAGCCCGTCAGAAAGGAATCGAATTATGGAAGAAAAGATTACTGAAAGTTTTTTATTGCATCGGAAACACGTTCCTTTCCTTGAAAGAGTATGGTTTGGCTCTGTCAGTCTTTAAGCAGATAGCAAAGCAAGATTCTGAGAATTCGAGAGCATTGCTTTTGGGACTTGGAAGGATAAGCTTACAGTCTGGGGATATTGAAAGTGCGCAAGAGTACTTCAAATTGGTGGAGGAGATGGGACCTGATGATGATATTGCCCAATCAGATGTCTACATCAACCGCGGTCTTCTAGCGTTAACTCTGGACGCATACGAGGAGGCGTATAAACATTTCTCAGCAGCGAAGAACTTGGATCCGGGAAACGCGATTGCAGTTAACAATGCTGCTGTTAGCTTGCTTTTTCAAGGCAGATTAAAGGAAGCATTACAGCTGCTCGAGGATATCGTGTTTGCGGACCCCGAGAAGAATTTACAACCTGGTATACTCTTCAATATTTGTACCATGTATGAGTTGGAAACATCGCGTCATGTGCAGAAGAAACAGACTCTACTAGAGTTGATTGCAAAGCACCGTGGAGATGGATTCAATGTATCTTGCTTGAAGTTCCCGTAGGCGACTAGGCGTAGTTTATGCTTCACTTTGCTAATAGGCAATTCCAGCTTTTAGTTTATACCTGCGGGGGATGATGGGAAGTAAGGTATCATAGTGCTGATTATGCTGAAAAATTTCAATAAAAACTACCGAAACAACCGAGTCTTATAAGCTATCATTCCGTGTTTACACGGCCACCATTTTTATTTTTTCAGCATAATCAGCAATGTGATACCTTACTTCCCAACGTCCCCTGCACGCATAAACTAAAAGCTGGAATTGCCTATTGAGTCAAATTAGATTGATTGTTTATACATCGTGAAAAAGTCGAGGAAAACTGTAGCGTAGGTAGTTAAATTGTAACTTGTGAACAACTATAGAAGCTGTTACACCTGAAATTTGTACTGTAGAATAAAAATATCGCGTCGTGTACAAACGAACACTGAAACAGTATTCTCAAATTGATTGCAGAATCGTGAACGAATCATATTTTAATAAACTGTCAATTCTTAAACTATTCTTAAAATTAGATTTTATACTGGAATTAATGTGTAATGTACAAAATAAGACCAATTAATGTAAACAACAGCGATGTTGGTTTGTGTGTCTGTCAGGGAAGAAATTTGTGTAGACAAAAATATATATAAATATATCTTCACTTTCTCCATCGGGACAACAGGTAGCAAAGCGAAGTCAGCTTTTTGTTGTACATCCACATAAAAGCACTGTTTCAGTACATACAGTATTGTTGAGGATTTCCCAGGGACCCCTCTGTGTTCCCTTGAAAAGTTTTTGTTTGTTCCCAAAACAGATTTCGCCTTGTTTCCCGAGCTTGGTGACGTCACAAAATATTAAGTTGCCCCCTCCCCTCTAAAATCCTGGCGACGCCACTGCATATTGACCTATTTTTGTGCCTTATTAATAGGAGGGGCAATGGAACCCCCCAAAAATTCAAGCCACTACTCCAGTGACACATACAGCTCTTGAGCGCAATAAAACTAAGCTTGCAAAGGATTTCGGTATATCCATGTGGAAAAAAGCAAGATGGCGCTCACTTGTGCAAGTAAGAATATAATATTTTTGTTAAATTGACAATGTTTTCGCGATATTTTGCAGCTTTTTAAATTGTGTTTGTGTGCGTTGCAATATATAGTTTACTGTGAGTGTGTAAAATATAGCTTTTGTGTTGCTAGGGGATAGTAGGAAAGCTTTGTTTGGCGGTAAATCACGACGTGGAGTCATGTTTCAGACTCGTGTTTTTTGTATAGTACTTTGGTTGTTTGGTTCTATATATGAACAAATTGTGTGCGCCTAGGTTGTGCTTTGCTGTTTTATAGGCATGCAGTATATAGGTTAACATGTGGCCAAAATGTAGTTGGCAACTTGTTTTAAATTCATATTTTTTTCTGTATATAGAAAGGCAGAAAACTGAGAAAAGCAGTCTAGTATGAACATTATTAGAGGGGTTCAGATTAGTTTAATTAATAAGCTTTAGTACATCATTATACAAGGAGTTAAATAACAGAGCAAGCTCCAATCAAGGTTTAAGTTCCACTACCTCTCACTCTGACTGGAAAGTTTGGAAATTGCATGCCAGAGATTTCAAAAATTTATTAATAGTAAATATGATAATTTGTAGCAAAGGGTGCATTTTTTGTTAGGTTCACTGTATTTTAACACATAAAAGCTGTGAAATTTGTATTTTATCCTGGTATTTGTCTATAAATCAGTAAAAATATCAACAGACTGCGGAAGTGGGAAGGTTCTATTTTGACTGTAATAGTATTGGAAATCAAATATGAACCTCCGTAATATCACTGGCTGCCTGACTGGAAAGTTTAGAAGTCATGCACCCAATATTTATAAAATGTACTAGTAATGTATAGAAAGCATCAAAACTGTGCCTTCGAGATCTTGGGCATGTAAGGAAATTTGTGCTTGAATTCTTATTTGTTTAGTCAGTAACGAAGTTCCCGAACACCCCTGTATCTCACCATTGTCGAACTGTGTGTTTGAAAGAAGACTTGTTGAGAAATATATAGCTGAAAATGGTGTGGATCCTATAACAAATGAAGTTTTGTCTGAAGAGCAACTCATTGATATAAAAGGTAGTTTCAGAATGCTGTGTGAGTTCTGATAATCTGAAATCTGATCAGTTCCTTGTAGTTTTGCATGGCAAATAATATCAGTTTTGGTTTGTGGAAACACCACGTAAATTTATTATTTGCAGAACTTCCGATCCATAAACCCGGATCTTCCTCAAACCTACAGATCAAAAGCTCTGAAAATAATGAATTTATATTGTGTTTACACAAACCGAAACTGATAATTCTTAATCTGCTGTTTCGTAAAGGGTCGTCCATAATTGCCTCTGCCAGGCAGAAGTAAAAAGGTGCATTATGGTGGATTGTGGCCTAATGTGTTGATTATTTATTCCTAATCAACAAATACATATGTATTTGACCCTATAGTAACTCCTCTTGTAAAGCCCAAGCCGCCATCAGCAACAAGTATTCCTGCCATATTGAAATCATTGCAAGATGAATGGGTAAGTTACACCGGTCTGTATTTTCACATTCCCTGGGTGTACAATATAATTTAAACAATTGGTGCCAGTATGGATAGCAATGTTAACAAACAGCAACAATCTCCATTGAGTATGCCAGCACTCTCCCCTTATTGAGTAAAATCATCTGGTGTTAGACAGAGTAAAATAATAAAGTAGGGTGAATTAGGGTGCAATGTAATTTAATGGATTAATATAGATTTTGTGTGGCTTATTTTGTCTGTGCCAATGTTTCCTAAACAGCTTACACAGTAATACACAATAACAGCTAGGGGTGCACCGGAACTCGGTTCCGGCCGGAACCCCAATTTTTAGGAGTTCCGGTTCCGGCTGGAACTAATAAAAAAAGCATGGCCGGAACCGGAACTCTGTTGTTTTCAGAGAGATAGAATATCAAACGTTTTTGTGTCTAGCAAAATGTCACAGTAGGAAGAAATGTGGACTACGCAAGGGAAATGTACACTATTAACACTTTATTATGACGTTTAACATTTGTCAATCTTTTTATTCTAACATTTGTGAACTCTCTCTTTGATGATTTGAAGTGTCTGCCTGTCTGGCAGTGGACAAAGTAACATATGACTATATATGGCTTAATAAATCAGTTCCAGTTCCGGCCGGAACTTAAAAAATTGGTTCCAGTGCACCCCTAGTAACAGCTACACAGTGATACCATAAAATTAATGTTTGATAGTGTAATTCAATTTTTCAAAGCTTTGCCTAATTTTTTAATGTTTTTTTCTTGTCAGGATGCAACAATGCTGCATAGTTTTAGCTTGAGGCAACAGCTTCAAACAGCTAGGCAAGGTTTGTTGGAAAATATTATAACTTTTTTCCTGTGAAAGTGTATCCCTAACAGCAGGTTAAAATGATCATTGGCAAGTACATTACAGTAGAAGTTTCTTTGGATTTCAATGTTTGTCATAATCAGGGGCGGACAAAATAGGCAAGCACTGCTCTCAGAAAATGTTAAACAGCTGCAGGAAATTCGTTTGAATGTAGATTTGCTATTGAAAATTTGTAGAAAACCTTAACATCCATATCCCACTATGGGCGCAACAACGTATGGTTGACAGACATTGTTCCTTGAATTTAAAACCATGGTCAGCTAGAACACTATATGTTTATGCACATGCAGATTCATCACAAAAATACTTGGTTGGTCTCCAGGTTGTGCTCCCAGGAAGAAAATTCTTTTTTCCTGCCCTGGTCATAATATCCATGGTTTCTAGGTTTTGTCTTACTTTGTACAGTATTTATCTTTCTAATCATATTACTTCATTCCCAGAATTATCACACGCTTTATATCAGCATGATGCGGCTTGTCGTGTCATTGCTCGTCTCACGAAGGAAGTTACAGCTGCAAGAGAAGGTACTGTATGCACTCATAAACCTTTTTAACCCATTGAGTGGCAGCACTCTCTCCTTGACGAGTTAAATCATCTGGTGTTAGACAGAGTAAAATAATAAAGTGGGATGCATCAGGGAGCATTGAAACCTAAAAGGGTAAACTTAGGTGATTCCAAGGAAAAGTCAGCTTTATCCCCTTGCATCTGCCAATATACTTGAATTTTCATGATTTATTAAGTCGTGGGTTTTCCCAGGTGCTCCAGTTTTCTCCCACAGGGAAAGTTCATAGGGTGGGTTAGGATAAATACAGTTAAAGACCATGTAAAGTCCGTTCTGCGCATACGCTCTGCGCAGGCTTACATTCCAATGGTCGGGACCCGACCGTTGGAATGTTATAAATATTTCATATCTTTTGAACTTTCTTGAATTGAACCTCTAGTCTGTATTCATTTACAAGCATAGCGAACCAGAAGAGTGTTAAAAATTCAGTATAATATAATTACTGAGTTCAAAATGTAAACAAAGCGTTTGTTTACATTACAGACTTTACATGGTCTTTAAGAAAGTTGTAAGGATAAAGTTGTCTGTAAATTTTGTAAAAATTGTAAATTGTACTTATGTTACTTACTTAACTTAGTCTATTTATTAGTTTACTTACTTAACTTTAGACTATTTATAAGTAAGTGTAATACTTGATGTAATTGGTCACTGAAAAGCCCCAATGGGGAGTGAGCTGAATAATAATGTAAATATGTAATACATGCCTGTCAGATGTTGGGATCCTAGGTAGCGGCGCTACCTGCAAGTGCGTGAAGCTGCAATCCTTGTGGTGACTCTGCCCTAGTTGGCAAAGCTAAATAAAATAGGTCTTATGCATGCTTGGGTAAGGTAGAAAATTTCAAGAACTCCGTTTTCAAAGAATTCCGTTTTCAAATGCCAAAACTCCGTTTTCAAATGTCAAAACTCCGTTTTCAAATGCCAGAACTCAGTTTTCAAATGCCAAAACTCCGTTTTCAAATGCAGAAACTCCGTTTTCAAATGCCAGAATTCCGTTTTCAAATGCCAAAACTCAGTTTTCAAATGCCATAACTCCGTTTTCAAATGCCAAAACTCCGTTTTCAAATGCCAAAACTCAGTTTTCAAATGCCATAACTCCATTTTCAAATGCCAAAACTCCCTTTTCAAATGTCAAAACTCCGTTTTCAAATGCCAGAACTCAGTTTTCAAATGCCAAAACTCCGTTTTCAAATGCAGAAACTCCCTTTTCAAATGCCAGAACTCAGTTTTCAAATGCCAAAACTCAGTTTTCAAATGCCAAAACTCCCTTTTCAAATGACAAAACTCCATTTTCAAATGCCAAAACTCCCCTTTCAAATGACAAAACTCCATTTTCAAATGCCGAAACTCCGTTTTCAAATGCCAAAACTAGTCCGTTTTCAAAAGCCAGAACTCCGTTTTCAAGTGCCAAAATGCCAGAACCACCTTTCAAAAGCTTTCCAGAACTACCTTTAAAAGCTTCTAGAGAAGCGAGCAAGTTTGGACCACGCAGGGCTAACTGAAACTTCTTTTGGCTACCTGCAAAACAACTAAATATACAGGCATGATGTAATGTAATGTACTGTTGTAAGAGATTTTTGCATGTGATCTTGAATGATATTGAACAGAACATATTGTAAAGAGGAGAACACTGTGCATTTACCCAACTTCAATGAGTTCGATCTTTTCATACTTTTTATAACAGATTTCAAAAATGTAAATTTTCTTTTC